GTCACCAAGCGTTCGTAGGAAGAGAAGTTTAGGGGCTTGGTCCCCAAGTGCAGAGCCGGAAAATATTCTTCTGTACTTGCGCTCTAATGTACATAAACTTGTGCTACAATTAATCGATTCTCGTACCTTGTAGAGTTGTTGCTCCTTCATTTCCATATTTTGTTCGTTTCCCATTTACATTATTTGTTCCCGTTTGTTGTTGTGATGATCGATGAAATAGTGAAGTACATCATTTATTTCCTCATCTTCAGGCTAACCTTCCAATTCTCACCGTCTTCTAAAGTGTACGGGTTTAGCGAAGTTGATCTGGTACGGAATGGTGGAGATCAGGTATGTGTCGAGAAGACTGGTGACGAAATCAAAAATGTTGGACTGTTTAGCCCTTTGCATCCTAATTTCACTTTGCATATTCTCCATACTGTTCTCTATACATTTCCTAATGTGCTGATAAGGAGAATTTGTTTAACAATCAAAAGCTTCTTCAGTTGGTGATCATTTTCTTTATTCTCGTGACCTTCATGTTTGATTCAAAGGGTAAACTGTAGGGAGAAATGAGATGTTAGTCACTGTTAAGAGTCATAGGGATAAGCACGTTTCTTGGCATTGCATTTCGATGAATCCCCACGTATTATCTAGATCAAACGTTTTCATCCAACATTTTGCTTCACGAGCAAATGTTTGATCTGTTCATTCCGTTTCGTGTGCAGCTAACATGATGTTGAATGAAAACGTTGGATCCTTTAGCCAGGGCGAAACGAGCTAGTTCAGGGGAGAGGTAGTATTGGCTGCTCCCTAAGAATTACTGAACAAAATGTTAATCTTCAGTTGTTTTACTCGTTGTTATGGCAAATTTATTTGACGGTTGATATTTGAGGTGCACTTTAAATCACGGGAATTATTAATTAAGCTAAATATTTGACTTAAGTCTTTTTCTTTTGTGATTTAAACAAATGTTTTTCGCTCGGTGAGTGTAACAGTCGAAGCGCGCGGAATAAAGTTTCTAGGTTGTACAACGTCATAAAAATCAATAGTATCCTCATCTTTTCACAGTAAGGTTTTGGTTCTCTAACAGCATCATTTGCTGTTAAATATATTTAGCATTTCTGGAACTTCTCGTTTCGTCCTAAATCATTTTTGCCCCTTCCCTCTCCTCACCTCCCCTGAGTCGCCGAGTGTAAGGTGGCTCTTGCCTTTCATTCGCACATCACAGCAGGTTCGACTTATTCTGTAACTTAACTTTTCCTCTTATTTGCCTGTTCATCATAATTGCCTCTCAATAACTGTAACTTAGATTTTCGTTATAATAATTTGTAACAGATGTTAACAACAGAAAATGCTGAGGAATACATAAAGCTTGTCAAGGAATTCTGTTTATACACTGGCGTGCAACTTCAGTTGGACTCATTTAGAGGTAATATTTTTGTTCACGAATTGTAGAAATAACCATAAGGTTTTCATGTCGTGAAAGGATATTTCACGAAAAAATATGAGAGAAGATTGTTGAGAGCACTTTTCGATTGAGTGTCGTAAAAGCAAAACTGATGTAATAACAACAGCCAATCAGAAGAAGGGAAAATACCCTGAAGAGCCAATGAGAAATCAAAGAAAAAACAGTCACACCGCCTCAAGCGCGGGAAACGCAGGCGATCAATTCGTGATTTTCGTAAATTTTACATATGACTGGTTGAGAGAGTGGTATGAGTTTTCTGGACCAATCACAGAGCGAAGTGGAGCAAAAGCAGAGTAATCTCGAATTTCTTTCGACACTCAATTGAAAATTGCTGTAGTTGTTTGGGATGATTGTTACGAGTTATTTAGATATAGTATTCGGTTGTTTTTCTTAAAGTTATTGTACAGTATCTTGGTGTTTCGATTGATGCTGCAAGCTAGCAATCGCTGGTCTCCGCAAAAGTGAACATGAAATACCACGAGTGGCAAAAGTAGTGGCGGAACTTACTTTTCAGAGATGAAATGGTTTGATCTGAGGTTGTAAAAGTTGATAAAATAAAACAGCAACAAATTAACAGGACAGGTAAGAAAACCAGTAATTCCTTCATTTGATAAGCGTTACCATCAACCTTCGTTTTGCAGACGGGTTCAACTCCGTGTTTCCAATCGAGAAACTTAGTCCATTCACTCCAGACGAGCTACAGCTAATGTTGAGTGGAGAACAGGTTCCACAGTGGACCAGGGAAGACATAATGAACTACACCGAGCCCAAGTTTGGATACACACGGGAAGCGCCTGGCTTTCAGAGATTTGTGAATGTGCTGGTTAACATGACTGGCGACGAGAGAAAAGTAAGAAAATAGTTCATGCTTGTGTGTAGCGTCTTTGCATGAATAGTAGTGTATTTGTCGTCGTTGGTTCGTCAGATCGCGTCTGTTAGAGGCGCGGTGGCATAGTAATTAGCGCGTTGGACCGTGAAGTAAGAGGTCTGGGTTCGAGTCTGGCCGATGCGATGAACGTGTGCGGATTGCGTTCAAAACGAGTGCTATACTACTTGAGGTTAATGCTTATGCAGCCGTATCAGCCTTTCTATTATTTCTATTTTATCTTAAACCTCTACAATTTTTTTCCCATCAGGCGTTCCTCCAGTTCACCACAGGTTGTTCGTCCCTGCCTCCAGGCGGTCTCGCCAATCTTCATCCTCGCCTCACTGTTGTGAGAAAGGAGAGTGAAGGAGATGGCTCTTTCCCGTCTGTTAATACGTGCGTACATTACCTTAAACTTCCGGAATACTCTTCGGAAGAGGCCATGCGAGAGAAGCTCCTGGCAGCCACAAGAGAGAAGGGATTCCACTTAAATTAGGCCAGTTCGAGTCGACTCTTCCAAAAACATGTCACTGTAATGATTCGCGTGACATCATTAGAGAAGCCTTGCTTGCGGTTTCCGTCCTTTTGCCATGAATTTATTGTTTGTGTTTATCTTTCATTAGCTGTAGTAATCTTATGCGCCTTTCAAAATAGTCGCGTGTAATTGTGGATCGCTTATTCCTATATCGTGCCTTGTAAATGTTTACCTTAACGGAAATTGTTGATTGGAAGGCGCTCTTTCTGTTTTTCTGTCAAAGCTGCTCATTGTGAAACGAGGCAACAAAGTTCAACAGAATTAAGGCTGTTTCAGTCATTTTACGGTGACTGATCACATTCGGGAAGGGACGGAAGGCAAATATTTCAGCTGTATCATGATGCAGTGGGGAAGTTCACTCGTTTGTTTCAACTGTTTACCAAACTTACAACAATGTTGATTGTTAAATCTCTAGGTAGACATTTTCTTTAAAAAATATGTTGTTGCTCTATAAATAGGTAAATGCGTAATTTAAATTAAAAGAATTGTCAAGCGATTTCATTTGATTTGTCTGGTTTCTCAGTGTGCTACTTTAATTTAGCTAATTCAAGGAGAGTAGTTGAAGAAAAGGAAAATATCCAAACTCTAAAACGCAAAAGTTTGATTTCGATGTTGCATCTGATTGGCTGAGAGGCCGACGCGGTTGATCTACACCAATCAAGGAGCGGATTTAAGCAAACCCGATGGAAAGGACAAAGCCTGCATTATATTCTGCCTTTTTCAGGGAAACAAACGCAAGCTTGCGCGAGGGGAGTGTTTTTGCACTTCTCTCCATGGGTAAATGTAATAAAATTACCCCTGTTCTTTAGCTACCTGGGACATATCGTCAGTCGACGACCAGGCCACTTAGCAACCACCTTTGGACAGGTGGCGTTAGCTCGACGCATTTGCGTATGGAGGTCGCCTGGCAAGGCGCGGTAACACAGTCGTGGGGTGTGCATCTTGGTTGTGACCGTAGTAAACTGGTTTCGCCCTTCGTTCTTCACAGCTAATAAGACTTACTAACCACGGTTTCACTCGTTTATTACACTAAGGAAGTCGACGAGATTTTTCGTTGGGAAAAATTATTCAAGAAATGCTTTCTTTGGATTCGTGATCCATTTTTTAGCGTGTAAAATGACGGATAATCTATTGAGTCAATAATAATAAAGTGTATGTCCAGAGTTCCTAATAACAAAGAAGTATTCCCGTTTGTATTGCAGTAAAGGTTTTAACATAATCTTAATAAAGGCTAAAAAAAGTAATAATTATTTGCAATAATTCATAAAATTCTTTGTCATTTCTGTGGAAATCGTTCTAACATCTAGCTTAAGATGTGAACTCTCCTTAGCCGTACCATACACTTCTTTCACGACAAGTAAGGAGAATTTCATACTACAACAAAAAAATCTACACTGCGTTTTAACACCACTTAAGCTGAGCTCACTTCAGACAATTTACCATGCTATATAACATTAAGGGAAGGGGAAAAGGAGACGTAAACGAGACGGTACAAGGAAGAATTCATAGAAAGACAGATCATTGACGGAAAAAGATCAAGACATCTTTAGTTATGGTTTTACCTTTGATAAGACATTTTAGCTATAACTAGTTCAAACTTAAGTCTACCTTTTTTTCAATTTTTCCTCCGAATATAAAACAGGAAACATACAAAAAGTTGGGATCAATGTCAATGTCTAAGCAACTGCGCACTTACCCCCACTCCCCCCCCCCCAACTCAACATGAACTCCAAGTTATTACCAACTGACTGTTGTTGGGTTGGAGGGGGGAGGGGTAGGGGCGCAGTTGCCCGTGACTGACATTGAACAAAACGTTCTTTAATATTTCATCTAGCACTGCTAAGGTCATTGTCATTGCAAACGTTTGCGTGACTAGTTATCTTGGAAACCAAAATGTCACGAAATCGCTTACCATAAAGACAAATACATACCAAGACAGGCTCTATTTACTTTTGAATTCTTCAAATTACCTCGCTCGCTGCAAAATTTTCCGTAAGATCAAAATTGTGTCTTATGAAGAGCTTCGAACAAAATGTGGCATGGTTCAAAGCTTTTCGCGCAGCGATCTATAAAATAAACTGAATTTGTAAAGTTCATAAGGAGTTGGTAATAATAGCATTTTTTCCTCAATAATTAATACTATGATCGCCGCAGCGAATAAGCCATGCTGATCTCTACGACAACAAATCTTCAAAATGCTTGTCTGTAAAAAATGCATTCAATTTCTCCTTCAGCTAAGAAGGTCCACTACGGCACCGTCGTTATTCGGAGACACTGTGGAGGGAGGGGTGGGCAACTTTGTTGAGCCTATCATCAAGCCGTCCATTTGGCCTGTCCAAAAATCTAAAAAAGGGGAAAAATCATAAAGGAATGAAATCTAATATTCTATAAACCTTAAATTATAATTTTTTAAATCCGTCTAACATTTAAGGCAATGTAAATGACAATGTTAAGGTTTTGCGCATGAAAGGAACCTACGCCTACACTACAAAAGTATCGGAAGCGCTTCGGGCTCGTCCGGAAACACTTCAAGTTCTTCGATACACAGACGCACCCTGATTGTTGATTGCATGGTTGAGATGTGGATTGTGATTTGTTTCCTTGACAGACACGCTGCTCAACAAGTCCAGCTCTGGTTTATTTCCTTCAGGTAAAGGAGAAGAGGCTGCAGAAGTGATATAAAACAAAATAAGAAAAAAATTGTGCTAAATGAAATCCATATGACCTGATCAGTAAGGGAAGGTTCTTATGCCATTTTCAAATCGCTGTAACACTCTAACCACATCGAAAGGAAGTGTAGTACTAAAATCGTCTCGGAAAAAAGATGCATCAATTGTTCGCTCGCATTGATAGAAAGTTTCATGGCAAATTTTACGAAAGCAGGTTTCATATTAAATTGCATGAATCTTTTTCCTTCAGCCTTTGTTTAAAAGAAGAGTTTCTGACACATGGCAAGAGTTTAACCTTGGGACGCCTGGAGGGATCACAAGCAACTTGACGAGAAAAACACATTAATAAGCCGATGAAGACAACTATCATGAAGTGGAGGAAGTATTCCCTAAACAAAACTAAAATTATTAGAACTCACACATGAGGAATGTATGGTTATCGCCAAAAAGATATAACGGCAGGATCTTGAAAGAGAATGGTCACATTACTAATTTAAGTCGATGTGTGCAACCTGAGGGAAATTTCCTTCAACGCAATTTGATTGGTTAGCTCGGAAAGAAGAGCAAAGAAATAATTCACTTCAAGACGAGGCGTTTGCTAGTAAGAGGAGGGGGGGGAAACAGGAATTAATATGGCGTTCAAGACATATGTTGTACCTGAAGTCCGCTCATCACTCTGAACCAGAGCAGGAATCAATGGAGATGCGGTGGGTTGCGACAGTGAACTGAATGTGCTGTTAGAGGCGTCCGTGTCACTCAGCGAAACACTTGACACCTTGTCACGTAACACATCGTTCACGCTCGTATCGCAACCGCTTATATCTTGCTCGTTTGACGAACAATTCGTGTTCGATAAATCCACAAGGGGAACAAAGTCCTCATCACTAAAAGTACCGTCTTGGTTTGGCTGCTGTTCCTCATCTGATACAGCCGTAACTGTGAATCGTGACAGGCCAGGATAGTCCGATGTTAGAACTTTAAGCTCTTGTGCAATATCCGGAGGGTTCTCCAACTGAATCAGCTTCGGCGAGCAAGATGCAGTCTCGTTTTCAACGTGAGACACCGCATCTGTTACGTGTTCTTTGACATCATGGATAATGCTGTCTGTTTCACTGATCCTTCCCTCCTCAGTCTGGCTTTCAGTAGCCAGCTCTCTTTCTTCTCGTTCTTTGGCTAAAACTTTGTTTCGCTGGCAATAGCTGTAGATGTCAGCGAGAATAATCCTCTGTGTTGTTTCCATGCCCTGTGAAAGACAAAAAAAGCCTTGAAAGATGACAAACTTGACACATCACAACTCCTTCTGCGTCATATGACATCCTCAGAAGACTTTCCTAAATCTCCGAACTTAGGTCTGAAAAAGTAAAGTTTATACGCTGCTTAGGTCCAACTCTGTTCACCCAAACTATACTAAACCTCAGTAGTTTGAAGTCATTCGGAGAGCAAATCATACAACAAATGAATATTAGGGGTAAGTTTCTTAGGAAACTGTGGTGCTGCGTCGATGGGGCTCATTACAAGATAATTTAGTCTCAACACCTATGTTGATAATGTAAATTAGCCACCGTAGAGAGTTTCTAAAGCTCACGCTTCGAGAGGCAGCCCTTCGTCTTTCCCGAACGGTCGAAACGCCAGCTTTAGAAACTCTTTAGAGTAGCCAGTTTACAACTTCTAGTCAATTGATAAGTACAAATTATCTTGAATATATGGTTGAACCTTAGTCGACCGTGTAGACTGGTCGTCTAGGTGAGAGTGGTGCTGCGGAGGACTGTGGATGGGACCATTGACAACCTGGGCGAAACTCATCATCTGAGTCAAGAGAGGATTTTTTTTTTTCAGTCGAGCGTTTTCAATCTGGTTCGTAAAAACTGATTGGTCAGTTTTTCGTGACATTATTGGCTGCAAGACTCAGTTGGCGTAAGTCGCTCCTAATCGAAGTTAAATGCATTACTTCTCATCACTACTCATTGTTCATTCATGCAAATGTTTAGCATGAGAAATGGAGTTAGGTGAGAGACGCCCACGCTTTTCGTAGGAGCTAAATTAGTTATTTCAACGCACATCAGCACGCTGGTACAGCAAGCTTACCGGCTCTTTTTTCAGGTCCTTGTCCAGGTCTATCCGCACAAGGGACTTGTTGACTTTCAGTGACAACGACAGAGCCATCAGCCCTCCAACATATGGGTCATTGTCACGGAGGTCCACTCTTAGAATAGTCTTGCTTTCTGCGACTACTTCAGCAAGTGCAATTATTCCTGCAACGGCAGAAGACTGGAAATTAGCCGCAGAAACAGATTAAAAAAAACTACCTTGACAAACGCTAGGGGTAGAGGGGGGGAGCGGAGCTCATTAGAAGGCCTTAGGAGAAACTAAAAGTTTCAGACGGGGTATTCGCAAGAGAGAAGAGCTTATTTAGAGAGAAGGAGCATATCTGGGTGTTTATGGTAATCGGTGTTGTGAACGTACATTTGTTTAGAACAGACTTAAACAATTCTTTGCCTTTTGGGTCGTATCTCGGTAAAATTACTGGACGTTATATTCTGTTTCTGTCGCTAAAACATTTGTTTTTCCAATGTAGGAATGAGAAAAATTTACGGGAACTCGGTGAACAGTCGCTAGTTTGTACCTCTCACTCGCTCTTCCTAATAAGAGACGTGCAACGCAAACAATGTCCCACTCACACCAGCAAAACATGTTAAGTTAACCAGGTTTAACTGAATAAGCAGCAATAAAAGATTTAAGAAGGGTTCAAGTAATCACTAATTTTTATTGTCATTGTGCTAAATTTGAAGTCGACAAACATCAGCTTTCAAGTAATTTGAACGAAGAAGACAATTTCAAACTGTGTTCGACAACAAAAACTGTAAAACATGTTTTTGCTTCGGTGTTAAGGTCATTATAAGTTTTTTTTTCCTTTACCTTCGCTAGAGAGTCTTGTATTCAACAGTCCAAGTCTTTCAAGAGAGTGGTTCCTCAAAAGACCCTCCTTTAATGTGTGCATTCCCTCGTTAGTCAATCGATTGTGTCCGAGATTAAGAGTTTGAAGAGAGCTGGTGCTTACCTAAAACACAAACCATAAATTGACTTTGGTCATAAACATATCATACAGTAAAAACCACTTTTAAGGTCAGCCTTTGTATCCAGTTCTACCAGAGCTTATTTTGGCCTCCATAAATTGACACGACACTAAGCTGAGTCACTACAAAAACTCAAGTCGGACTAAGGATTTAGTAAAGACATGTACTAACTCACCAAAGCATTAGCCAGGAACATTGCTCCATGGCAAGTTAGTTGGGTATTCCACAGCACAAGTGTCTGTAGTCCACCATGAGGCTGTTCAGCCAGACCCTCACAAATATAACCAATACCCATGTCCTGCAAAACAAAGAGGTCAGTTTGAGGTTATTTTAAAGAACACTATCACAGAAACTGAGGTGTTAATAAAATGGATTATATAGTTACATCTTGTGACATAAAAGGATAAAAATTCATTTTATACATGCTAAGTAGCACAGGAAACATCCCAGTGGTAAACTAAAACATCCATTATCAATAGATGCTATTTAAAGTACCAGACAAAATAACTACAGCCCAGCCACTCACTGGGCAGTTAATGCTATCCCAAGGATAAATCGCTATGCAGCAGATAAGTGTTATTAAAGCATGCCACACTGTCAGCCAGACAGAGATCTATGCATTGGATAGTGTTATCCACCCTTCCAACAACTGGGGCCAGAATAGCAATCAATTTTACAGAGAGTCAACAAAACTTCAGTCAACAAATAAAAACAGTTTGACTCAAGCACAAAAAACACATCTTCTCAAGTCATGCATGATAGTTATGAAGACATGGCACATGTCCTCCAAGACCAATCAAACTGCATCCTGAAGCAAAACCTGAATTCAAGAACATGTTGAGCATGAATTACTGACCCTAAAAAGAAAAATACTATTTTATTACATGTAGTGTGTCTCACCTGTAAAGGATTATTTCTTAAATCAAGCAATTGAAGATATCCATTACCCTTTAGCATAGCACCCAATGACTGCCCATCTGGTGATGTTAGTTTGTTGTCTCCCAGGAACAAGTCTTTGAGATTCTGGTTAAACTTTACTGCACTGACTAAGAGGCAAGATTCAGACCAACACAAATTTAGATATTTTAAATCATAATCTGATAGAAAACAAAGCAAAGTATGTTATTGATTACTTGTTTTGGTTTTTCTTTCATACAGCCACCATGAGATCAAACAAGATTATGGCACTTTCAAACTAGGTTGGTTAATAATCACTTAAATGGCAAACTTTATTTTTAAAAAAATCATCCAATTAAAGATCACATTTTATTTTATTTTCATTTTATTCCCATTTATTATCATTCATATCATTAAGGTCCTTGAGACGAAGAATTCCAGATTTTCCATTTAACAAATAGCTTCTATATTGCCATTTGTCTGTACAGTACTAGTTCACAAATGATGTCAAAATGTGGTAAGAATACAAAGTGGCACACAAGGCACAGCTGTGTGAGTCATTAATGTTTTTACTACATTTTGGCATCATCTATGATCTATTACTGTACAGATGCACAGCAACATAGAGTCTATTTTTGTTTAATATGGTAAAAAAGCAAAATGTTTTTAACTGCAACATCATGCATACATCTGTCTTCTGACAGATCAGTAGTAAGCACCAAGCAAAATGCATGATTGTGTGATTCAGATTATCATATCATACAAAAAAGAGGACAAGAGGGCATACTTATTAGAGGATCTACAATATACATTCCCTCTCTCCCAGTCCATAGCATCACAAGACAAATAAAAGGCTACAAGCACTCTTAATAATCCCTTCTCAAAGCAGTCTTTTCTTTTTAAGATTACTATAAACAAACAACACACAAACTGTTACAGGATGAATGTAGATGTTACATACCCAGCAGAAACAGTGGTCTCCCTGACAGATTACAACCCTCCATGTGCAACACACTGAGACAGCAGTCAAGCCTGAGTGTGCGCCCCAAGAGAGGAAGAGCCTGTTCTGTCCAAACTGTGTTACGTATGTCCAAGTATTGTAAACAGGGAGTCTGAGGAGGGAAAAACATCATTTACATGGTGCAGTCTTAAATATGTGTAAGGTAGGTTTGATACACATCTGTTGATTCCCAAACCAAACATTATCTCTCAAAAGCTCTCCAAACACTATTTACCTTTTTTAAAGTTCTACTAACAGCTTGCCATCCTCTGATCTTTATCTTGCTATTGTATGCCATGTTTAGGTTGCATGTTGATTTGTAGTATTCAATCATTTCCAGCAATGAAACAGCACCCTACAAATTACCAGCCATTTTGTTCACAAAATAGAAAAAATCATGAATTTCAAAACAAAACAATAATCATAATTTATTTCAAAATACCATGTAAAGGAGAGAACAATACATGAAAGTAGAGCCTCCTGTACAATCAATTCTAAGGATTGGGAAGCAACTGCTGGAGTGCATTAATTTCCCCCTCCATTGTTTCTCTACAACCAATTGCCATTCCATTGTCTGGAATTTATGGTATTGATTGTAAATAACACCTAAGCTTAGTGTTGATATGTATTGTTAACTTGTGGAGAATTTAGTGTGATCACCTTTCACTACATAGTGTTATGTAACTAGCAGTATAAATATATTCTGTTGTCCATGTTATTTTCATTAGGTCAAGTTAAGTGGTGACTAAAGTTCTTTCATGTTCCTTTTAAAACATTGTTCTTTGCTGAAACACAACAGCATTGCCACCCAGCAAGGGGAAAGTAAAGTCAGCAACGTTGACCCAAGCGGCCAGCCTTGTTGCAGCTTATTCCAGTTTCCAAGAAGCCTCAGAGAGTATGGCCAATTCCCCTTAATGGATGCCAGTCCATCACAGATTACCAACCTGCAGTTTGCCGAGCATCCCAATAGTTCATTTATATCCATTTATACTCTTAAGTGGAGAGAGCCACAGTGGGAGCAAAGTGTTTTGCCTAAGATCACAACACAATGACCCAGCTAGGTCTCAAACCCAGACCCCCCTTTCCTGATAGTTGACCTTCTTTAGTAGAGAGAACCACAGTAAGAGCAAAGTGTCTTGCCAAATATCAAAACATAGTGACCCAGTCAGGTCTGGGTTAAGACCTCTTAAACCCCAAACCAGCCTGCTAGCCATTGGGTAACTGTGTCTCCCTCAATGTCTCTTGGCATTTCATGAAATTAACCTTTATTTACTAAAGAAAGCCTTGCATTCATTTCTCTCTTGCACTCATTCTTCTCTTGCACAGTGTATTTATCATATACTCCAAATATGAAAATGGACATATTTCTAGTGATTATTAAACCTAGACAAGAGCCATGGCTTGGAATACAATGACTGTAAGAGAAGCCACTTCTCATGCAATTCACATAATTTATATGACAAAAAAAATACAAAACAAATCCAAATGAACTCACATCATCCTCAAGTCCTGTGTTTTCAAGATCCAATGTCTTGGTTCTCACCCTTCTGAACACTTCCTCCAAAGCCTCACAGTTCCGTGGGTCAAGTTTAACACCTACAAGTCAAAGAAGCTGTTAACAAAAGCAGTAGAAACTGAAATTTTGACAGTCAATTATTAAAACAATTTAGGGCAGTCTATTTACCGGTACAGTACCTCTCAAGTCGATTACATCTATTCTGTCTGCAAAACTCTCACAAGCCTGCATAAAAGAAAGATTTTTATGAGTCAAAGCAATGAATGCCGTGAAAGAGACAACTCATAACAGCAACTCAGACCTAGATGCATTAATCCAACATATTTCTGGTTTGAAATAACCAAATTTTCCCAAAACTGTCTTGATTACAGGTCATGGAAAAATTCTAACTATGGGCGAGCCTTCCACAAGTCTCTTACAGCATATATCTGAGTGGTAGTGCATTCACAGTACTAATTAGACCATCCATTCCAGGTCATAGGTTCCACTCCTATTGGGAACACTCAAAGTTCTTTTTTCTAAGTATGCCTGTGTCTTTCATTGAATAATATCATTTTCCACTAAGTAGACAAATGGATTCAAACCCTTTTCTGAGGGGCACTCTGTACAAAACTTATGATTTACTGTTCCATGACCTTTGAAGTGCATCTGCCATTCACCGTAAACAGCTTCACGATTGTGTAAAGCACAGAAATATACAGAGGCAAGAAAGCTTTGTTTTAAAAATACCTCAAGCTGTTTAATGAGCTTTTCACAAGGTTTAATCTTCAGTCTGATGCATGTACTTCTATAAGCATCTATTACTTCTTTACTGCTGTGATGTCCAGCTGAAATGTAAGCATATTATGACAAATTTATTTTTAAGAGGAGAGGACAGACAGAAGACTCTTGAACTGATAAGCCTTGGAACCAATGGATCTCTTGAATCTCTCTGGCTATATGTCATTGTGCAAAAAGAAGTTGTGGTCTTACTCGTTTCAGCAAGTCTCAAAAAACACAATATTTGCAAAAAATTTTTGTGGGTTAGGGAAACAAAAACATACTCTTTTAAGTGACACTACAGAGCTCCTTACCACATCAATTGCTTTGAAACTTAAGATGGCATGTATTTTAAGGGACATGCAAAGAGAAAGCAAAATTCACTTTTTGGTGAGTTAAAATCATTGACCCAATTATGCCAATTAACCTGTCATTATTTGGTTCAAATTTATCAATAAACAAACAAAAATAAATGAATACATGCATTAGTAAATATTAAACATTGATAAGCAAATAAGCCCAGGTTGTGGAACTAATTTTGCACTGCAAATACCCTTCTGGCCTTGGCTAAATCTATCAAGTATCTAAGGAGCTTGCTTACAATTGCCCTTTCAATTAGAAAATGCTAATGATGTGGGTTTTTCATGGACAGCACATTGCTTAAGGTTCAAATGCACTTCACACCTTTTGGCAGGGGGAAATTTTTGCCACAGTGCATGTGACAGTTTATAAAGAATGGAAGAATATCATTTGGCAAATGCCATGAATTTCCTAAGAGAAAAAAAAACAGAGTTACACCTCCAAGAACTCCAAACCCTGCCATTTGCCATAAGCTTTTACAAGGTGTTTTTTTTTCTATGAGGATTAGACAGTTTGAAGGTCACAAATCACTCATGCCCTGTAGGAATCCACTGAAACAATTTGCTCATTCAGTTTTTTTTTTAACTTTCTTGTTCAATTAAAAATAACAATGTATTTCATGAGGAAAAGGTTTCAACTGGGTTTCGTAACCCTGAGTTCCAAAGTTTATCATGAATATAAATGAAGATTGAGTACTTTTGGTTTCTGAATGCTTGATTTTGATTGCTGGTTATAACACACTGTAATCATGGTTGAGCCTTCAAAGATATATCGAACTTTGATAATATCTTTAAAAGATTTCATTCCATTTTTATTTCAATCAGAAGATAAATTGATTTTTTTAATTGTTGACATTTTCTTAAGCATTATTTCCAGCAGCAATGCAGTCAGGGGCCTGAGGTTTTCTTCATCAATCCCAAACAAAAAAGTGAAAAATTATGTTATCATTTGACCAGTTTCAGATTAACATAAATTTGGGACTATGTAGTAAAATAATGCGCTCACAGATTTTTCATTTTCCGTTCCTAGAAAACTGTTGGAGACCTTTCTAAGAAGGGAAGTAAAATTCCACATTTCATCATTGCGGTTTAAACAAATCAAGCATCAAAGAAAATACGACCACCACAACGAACGTCTGCTTATCACATGAAAAAATAACGTACATATACCAACAATTAGAGAAATACCGCCTGAACCGGAAATTTGCTATTCCTTCATACATTTCGTGTTCTCGTTTTCACGATTTGCGCTCGATGTCGCGTAATACTTCGGGCAAAATGCCAGTACTGATTCATTAAGCTTTTGAAGCACATAAATGAATATATAAACGAGATTTAAAGAGCGAGAAGTTCATTCCCAATTACTGCCCATTATAAGCGACTAAAATGTTACGCTCACCGCTATACTCAAAGACATAAACGAGTGATAACGAAAACGTTCTTCAACCCGGCTTCGGGAGCAAATAGTTTGCAAAAAAATAAGCCATGCATACAATAGAAAAAAATGCAAGACAAACCAAGTCACGCAAATCAGAGCTCACCAATTTAAAGCACGAAGACCAATATTTACATTTTTTTAAGTCACCCTATGGAGTGAAGGCACACTGGAGCTCAACTAAAATTTATATTAACGCAAGTCTATTGGCATATATTGATGTGTAGTTCACCATAAAATGAAATCATCGAGTGCTTTGGACTAACCATTTTCCCACGGGTCAACTGGGTCCACAGCCCGGACTAGAAAGGCATCTTCAGGGAAGGAAACCTTTCTTGAAAGCTTCTTCTTCCGACTGGTTCGATGATCCTGCCGACGTGCAACTTCACGTATACCACCTTCGCAATTACTCGGTCCACCGCGAGTTCCTTCCTCAGATGCCAAAACATCCTCACCTGTTTCCATAATTACTCATGGCTTTAAAATCAAATCCATCATAAGTAAGTAGCAAGGTAATAAAATCAGGGAAACTTCCTGTTTTCCAGTACCGAGCCTCAACTTCTCGAGGGAGCCATTTTGAAAGACACCCTTGACGTGGAGGACTGGGCTTGAATCACCTTCTTCATCGTGCGTTCCGTGACATGTGTTATACGACGGGAACGTGAATGTGATAACTCGCGATGACATAATATACCCTAGTGGATGCTCTTTGCAAGGTTAGCATCAAATTATAGGCTATGAACCGTTAGGAGTCTTTCGCCCTCTGGTGTTTTATACAGGTCCAGTTTTCAAAATCTTATTTGTCCCATCCTAACTACTTCGTACTTCCAAACACAATTCAAAATGACTGCCTCGTATAATTATACATTTTTTCTCATCGGACCAAAAACTTAAAATCTTCGAATCTGTTTTCAGTTTTCTTCGAATCTGTTTTTTTCCAGCGCCATTCACAGCAGAGCAGAAAAAAGTTAATGCGCCTTAAATACTTAAATATAATTTTTTTTTATGAATAAAGAAAAAAAATTCCTTGTCATGGGCTTGCGTTGAAAATACAAGTCATGTCAGACTGAAGTTTATAAACATGATATTAGATTCATCCATAATTTTTTAACATATTGCTCACGTTTTCAATTACCCCTGTGAAGCTGCTTTATATCGTTTTTCCATTTTTGTTGAGTTAGCTTAAATTTATGGGCTTGTTTTTATTATTGTTAAGGTTATACGGAATTACCTCAACGGAATTCCCATCCTTTGCCAACACAATATTGCGTGAGGAAATTTTGTGTCAATTACACAACCAAATGAAAGCTATTACCCACACTTCCTTGCAAGTGGACGCTGTGTTTTACGCCATTTTCTCCTGAACATCTCTTAGGTGCCTTGGCTGATGTTCTATAAACAGAGCTCTTTTGCGGGCAGAGTAGTCTCTGCCGAAGCTACCACCGCTTATCAACCACAGGTTAAGTATCAACTTACTGAAAATCTTTAGTTAGATTGTTAATTGCTCACACAAATTAAGTTTTAAATATCAGTTTTTAAATATAGTTTCTTAACATACGATAATATAACACTTATCAGTTTTCGACCCGGATTGTTTAATTTCTTTAGGGACTTGGAAAATATTCAGAGCCGAAAGCAGGTCCAGTTTTCGAGACTCCAATGTCGTCCTCTTCAGGAACTTTGGGTGGAAGTAACGTTCGTCAGTGGCAGGAGACCTTTAAGGTAATATAAAGAAAGCAGTCGGAGACATTTTTCGACAACAAGCTTATATCAACGATCATTGTATATTGGCTTTATATAGGTTGCTCGTGTGTAAAAGACGAAAAAATCATCACTTTTACTCAATACAGGAGGCTGTAATTGATCATAATATTTATATCCTTGTACTAGTCATGCAGGAATTTTTCACCAGGCCTACCTGATGAGTTACACGGAGAAAAATAAATTGATAAGCGTACTGACTCAGTGTTTGGCTCCATTCATGTCAATCACTAGGCCTCAGTTGTTTCTAGGAAATAAGAAAAGCCGCATTTAACTCTGTAAGATTAACCTCTGGGAATTTTGTCTCAGTTACCTCTCAGAGACCATGTAGTAGATAAAAATAGAAAAACAAAGGGTAAGGTCATTAAATGAGCCTAATAACCTATCTGGCCAGAAATCATCCCATTTTTTCACACAGAACAGTTTCCAACCGTCTGTTGGAAAAATTAAACCATAGTAATTACAGTGACCCAATCATAACAAAGGTTATCATTAGCCAATGAGAACTTAAAATGAAAACAAACAAACCACCAAAAGAGCTAGAAAATACAATTGACCACTTGCAATATTGTTTTTAGTCTTTCATCTGATTAATTGAAATGAATGGGGCTAGCTTTCCGGACCAATCACAGAGCAGATTTGATGACACCATTGTAATCTCTAGTTATTTTCCACACTCGTATGAAACCTGCTCTAATGGGATGAAAAGAAGTATTTCATCTCCCCTTGGGTGGGTTGCTAATCCACCACTCATTACACTTCAGCCTTCACCAAGTTTATTCAACTGTTCACTATTACCAATTTTCATTCCTGGTCGGCATTCCTGGTCGGAGAGAGGTTATGTGAGAGTCGAAGCTTGAACCTGAACACTAAACATTAGGCTGCTATGTTTTCCCCATCAATGAAGCTTACTATTATTTAGTGCAACACATCCTTTAAGAAATGATTTTTTTAGAGTGAAGCTAGTCTATGCATGATACATTCCCTCTAGGAACTGACCAACTTAGCATTATTAAGTTACCAGAGATATGGTGGACCAATGATTTTACACCAAGGACCCCAGAACTAGATATCAAACTTTTTTATATGAAGAGTAACATCCAAAGATACAAGTAGCTACCTTGATCAGTTTGAATCATGTTTTAATTAAAGCAGTAGTCTGTACTTCAGCCAAGTGCCTCACCCACAGGGAACTTATCCCGCTTTCCATAGCATGAAGCTACAAGGGGTACACTTCTCCCCCCTGGATGGGATGCCACTCCAACACAAGGCTATCCCCCAGGATTTTACCAGGCTTCCCTGACATTTTGCTGGTACCCATTTATGCTCCTGGGTTAAAAGAGATACCTTGAGAGTGAAATGTCTTGCCCAAGAACATAACACATTGACAGGTCTCAAGCTCTGAACCCTCAACCCAGAATCCAGTGAATTAACCATAAGGCTACCACGTCTCCCACTCATGTTTTAGACACAATTTTCCCCTCTTTTTTAATTACAGCTATATTTCCTCGTACAACTCATGACATGCAAGACAACTATGACTAAATATACATTGACATTGAGGAAAAAGACACAATGATTATCTTTAGAAAAGTTAGTTTTTTTAGCACTATAACAACCCTGTACCACTTGAATCACTGTGCTTTAACTTCTAACAATTTATTCTTGATTTATTTTTGGTTTTGATAGCAATCAAAAGCTCCAGTGTATCTGCTGAGGGGTACAAGAGATAAGATTATCTTCAGGGGTCTTATGGGTGTTCTACCTGTTGGAATGGGTGTTGCAGCCTACTACTACTACATGATGGCCACTGGTAAACTGAAGAGAAAGGAAAGATGAAAGTGACTGGAGTCCAAGCTAATTTTCATCATTTAAAACTACTTCTGTCAAAATTTGTGCATTTTAGAAGGAACTTCATTTGCTGCTTTGATTGATCTAAGTGAATACTAGTCAAAATATATTCATTCTCCAGTGCTATTTTGGTGCAGAATTGTTGTTGGAACTTTATGAAGGATTAATTTGTAATATAATAGACACCTCTATGCTTCTTTTTCTTTACTTGAGGTTAGTAATAATAATAATAAAGTACTTTTAACTGACTGTATATGTTTTTTTCATTTTTTTTATTGAGAGAAACTTGAGGTGCTCGTTGTGAATTCTCATCTCTCTATGCATGCAAATCATTGACAAATTCATGAAAAAAAGAACAGACGATCTTGCATAGCAGTTCCTATTTTGGCATATGCATAAAGAAATGTATGTAGTACTTGCAATAAGAAAAGAAATTCATGCAGTGATGGGATGAATGGTGATTACTTGGCTTTAATGGGATTCACAATTATCAATTATTTGATGAAGCAGTAGTAATTCATCGAGCTGTGATGAGGCAATTGTACTACAGAAAAATCCTGATAACTTGAACCCTCATGAACTGAAACCTTGCTGTGACTCAAACCAAATTTGATTTCCTCTGTATTTCCATCATACATTTACTGCAATTTTACCCTTGCTAACTCAAACCCTTGATAACTCAAACCCTCTGTAACTAAAACCTCCCTCTAATTGGGAGCAATTTTAATTTCAGGACATCCTCTATACATATTTTACCCCTGATACCTCCTATGGCATGTTGAACCACGTCTGTCAATAAATGACAAACTAAAACAAACAGTCTGCTGCAGTCCAAAACAAATTACATTATGTCCATTACAATTTCCGCAGTTTTTTGTTACATTTTCACCCAACTTCTCTATGATTAGATTTGATGAACATGTATCCTGTTTGAAAAGAAAAAACAATTTTTGTAATTTTTCCAGTCTTTCCAGTAACTCCTCCTTTGTTTGCTGTCCGCAAGGGATAAGGCTCTGAAAATTAGCCCTCTGGAAGCGAGATGGCATAGAGTCTTCGACAATCATGCGCACGCAAACTGTTTGACGTCATAATGAGAGTAAGTTATTTCTCCAGAAAGCGAAGATGTTTGGCGTGAGGGGAAAAGTGAAAGCGTGCAATTTTGTACACAACGACGAAATATGGTAAGTCTGACTTTTTTTTGTGGTCCCTCATAAATTTCCTCAACTGTAGGCGATATAAGTGCCGAGCAATTTGGTTAGAAATTTCATTTTTGGAGTGGATCGGTTATAAATCGGCAACAATGATGCCTGTGGTATCCTCTACCAATATCCAAAAATTGACTCAAGCCATTTTTTGTGCTGAAAAGTTGCAGACGACTTCGAGTCGTTTTGCACCCAAAAGCAAACTTTTCATTTCTCTTAAGCTCGATGGTCTATTGGTAGCCAATCAAAATAGAGAGAAATACAAGGAGCCAATGAGAAACGAAATAAATGAGTATAAAAGAAGTTAAGCGCGTGAAAGGTAGTCGATTAATTTATATTAACATCTGATTGATTGAGAAGGTAGTGAGAGTTTTCAAGCCAAATCACAGAGCACTTTGAAGAAAAAAGAGCGTATTGTGTATACAATTATTTTACTTTATGTTCACTTTTTACCAGACGCGGCATTAAAAGAACTTCGTTTGTTACATTATTCATCAAAGATTTGTAATGTCCGCTGATACCGATTCCAACACCAAAAAAGTACCATCCGTCTTTTTAAGCCGTTCTTCGGCTACAAATTAGTGTCCATGCCCTGGCTTTGCCCAAGAAGTTGTGGAATTACTACTCAAAAGAATGCCCTCCGTCATTCCCCCATCACACCAAGATTTTCAAGGCAAAATCCCCTTCCCGCCAACCCCCCCCCTCCCCCCATATTCTTTTAACACCGGAATTTCTCTTTACCTGAAAAAATGTTTCTTGTATTCTTTATTTTTCAATCGATTACAGGAAAGATCATGTAAATAGAGAACTCCTCTCTCAGAGGCGATGGCCGGATAAGTGGGGATTTCTGGCTAATGAATACCATCGGGTAAGCATGTTCTGTAGAGCGCCCTGCACGTCATTGTGTAGAGGGACGGAAAATATCAAGTAGGGAGCATTCAGGCTGAGTTACGTCAAAACGCGAGAGTACTGATAACTGGATCAAATACTATTGAGATGCAAGGAAACATTTTCAAAAGAGCTGCATTGTGATTTTCTGTTTCGTTTTTCACGTGTGATGTAACAAAGCTATGGCCAATTCGTCAAAGCACATAATTAACAAAAACAATGTCCTCGCTGGTGAACTCCCGAGAGTGAACTTTTCATTTCTTATTAGTACTCATGCTTTTGCGCGTAATATCTTTTGGAACATTTCATTGAAAATTTCAGACAACGTTCCTTTCATACCATTGCGATTTAGTTACAGCTCGAGACACTGAGAATCGGCCAAGATGAGTTTGAGGTGGATGAAGAACGTAAACAAGAAAGCCTGGTGACTAGTACAGAGAGCGAAGAGAAAGATGGTACAGAACAGGCTCAGGTGTTGCTTGGCAACGCCAACAAGATGCCATTTCCAGAGACCACGTCACAAATAATTGGACGGAAGGCCGAGATGTCGCAAAGAAATGAGATCGAACGCAATGCTCGTGGAAAGCAAGACATAGTTAAGTTATTCAAATGGCCACGTGAGGGTTTGTAAAGGAATAAGACATCCGAAGTACAAAATAAACCGTGTTATGAACTGAATCCTTTTTGAGACTTTCTCTAATATACCAGTGTATGAAAGCGAACCTAACTTACTCCCAAGTTTTTGTAGTAGCAAAGATATTGGCCTGTAGATTTGCCCATGTCTGGTTTTTTTTAATTTGCGAAAACCACGACTCCTCCTTTCTTCCGCTAAATGTGACACCTGGAAATTTATTACAAGGACTAGCAATTTGTTCCTCGTTTTAGTACTACCTGAAAGAACTTTGAAAAAATATGGCAAAATTTGCCTTTAAAAAGTATCCTGACAAAATGTTAATTTTATCATCAGCATCAATATCCATTGGAGGGCTTTTCGATTGAGTGTCTAAAACAAGGTAATCACAACGGTCGATCAGAATAAGAGGAAATAACTTTAAGAACCAATGAGAACGCAGAGTGAAAACCACCAAGCTGCCTCAAGCGCGGGAAAAGGCGAGTGACCATGTCACTTCCGATTGGTTGGGAGAGCGGTGCGAGTTTTTTACCAATCACGGAGCGAAGTAAAACTAAACCAAAGCAATCTCGGATTACTATCGACATTCTATTAAAAATTGCTCTATACGGTCCAAGTAACAGTGAATGCACCCGACTTAATGAGGTTCTCTCCTATTTTCAAGTTTCTGATCTCGTTACTTGGTGGTAGATTTATCCAAGGTCGTTCTCCTTTAACAGCATCATCTCCCAGCCATCGTGTAGAGAAAGCTCGTCGAGGCGTCTCTAGATTATTGCCATGCGCACCGTGAACTGTTTTCATGTGGAAAACAATGCAGTCTCCCGGCTAAAGAAAAAAAAAATAGATGAAATATAGAGATCATCATCGGCTGCCTTTCTTAGCTTGATGGATATTTTATTTCAGCCGGGAGAAAAGCATTCACATTACAAAAGTGCTGTGACACTTAGAGGAATACACGGGAATGTAATAGGTTCGCCGAGAACTGAAGAAGTTTCCAGTTACGTGATAATGAAATCTAAGAGAACATTGGGTCAACTAAATCTAATTTAGAGGCCTCATACTAAAGATTCCCAATCTCCTTGGCACCGTTATTTCAGTTTTTTTCAAAAAACTCAAGCTATCTAGTCACTAACTTCGCAGTTAATTAAATGTGGTAAATGTTGTGGAGTTAAATGATGCTACAATGTTTGCTTACGTGGGCAAAATTCATGACGCAGGATTGGCGATTTCAGCATCTTTCTAGGGTCTAAAACATAAATGAGATCTGAACAATCAACTTCTAAGTGATTTATCCAGTGGATTTCGCTATCCACCCTTCGAAAAATCAGCGTTAGATTGACAACAGTAGGTTTTATTCGGACGGCGGGGGGAGGGTGAGGGGGGTTTTCTAAGGGCTAACCCACCTCCATATTCCAGGACAAGACTTGATATTGGTCGTTTCCATCAACATCTGGTGTCGAAAGAAATTCATCAGCTCTCTTTTCTTTTCCAGGCTTTGTTTCGTAGGACGTAAAAGGAGGGCCGTCAAAATGAACAGGTTTAAAGTAATGTGGAAACTTGTGAGAACCTTTCACAAGACGAAGACAGGTGTGTTCGGAGACTGGGTCCACTGGGAGCCACACAGAACAAACCTGAGTAAGCAAATATCTTTTTATAAGAACAAAAAACGATAAAATCACGACCTCCAAGGCTATGCCAAATAATTTGATTGATTTTTTTTATAATGACCATCATTATTCTGAATCTTCAGCGGTATGAGAGCAGAGATTGTGACGTGTAAAAGTAACCCGGGATCATTTGGGATTGCATTGTTTTGATTGGTTAAGAAGATTCACGCCAACCTCTCGACCAATCAAATGCAAAACTAAACTTTGGTTTCTCATTGGTTCCTTTTGACATTTTGGTCTGATCGGCCGTTAAAATAATTTGGTTTTTGTTTGACGATGCTCAATCGAAATACTGTGCTCTATCAAGTTTTTATTCCTTACCTTGTAAAAATTGTTTCAGCGCATTTATATAAGTCAAACAGAACTTACATAATTATTCCTAAACCGTAGTCTCGTACCCAGACCTTTCAAGACCAAGCGGTTGTACATCTCAGTTAAAGTTACAAGGTAAGATCTGGGTACGAGATCAGCTAAACCGACCATAAATCACAGGTTACACATGCCTGCTGTCCATCAATCTCATAATAAGCCTGATCCTGGTGCCATGGGGTTTGTTTGGTTGATCCGCTGTCTTTCACGATCACGTGATTGGAATACAGCGCAGCTACCTAAGGAGATTAACAATTGACAATAAAGCTGAAAATGTGGTGACATCTCTCGCAAATGACTACTAAACGCCAGGCAATTAAGAGTGGCATTTAAATTTACAGGAGCACGTGTTGAATAAGGATATTTTATTGTACAATTACAGAGGTGAAATCTGGAGGGGGAGGAAAGCACGATAGGATTTCTCTTCCCCATACCCCCATCTCCATTTTTTCTTCTCCCATGTTCCGCGCAAACACCTGCCACAAAGGATGGGCACCATGTGTTAAGAACGCTTTTAATTAGGTGTGGAGAAAAAAACCGGATTGCTTTGGTTTTGCTTTGCTACTTTTTGTAAAGAGGTCTGGAAAAATCGCGCCGCGGAAGGATATGGTTAGCAGTTTCCAACGCTAAAACAAGTCGGTGTCATGCAAAGCAAACAGGCGACTCCCTTACCGAAGACTGAAGAATTCGTCCTGTTATTTCGCCAACTGGGGAATGGCGAATGAACTCCTCGTATTCAGGAATATTTTTCCAGTTGCTGTAATCGTGAAAGAAGAGAGGCGTGTGGCCCTTACGTCTTGTCATATCGGATGGGTGGAGCCTATTGAATTCAATCCCTCTTCGCAAGAGATCAATCCATCTATGACTGAAAACAGCTCTTAAACAAAGAGCCCCATCCTCTTGAAAACGAAGGATTTCCTTCTCTGTGATCGTGTTTGGTGGCAATCTTTCCATTCAACTTTCGTGGTACACTTAAAAGAAAATAGAAATACATTCTCATGGATATCTCAGAACAAGTTTTAACAAAACATGTTTGAGACAAAGGCTAGGTTCCCCGTAATTCACTAAGGTTCAAGGAATAAGGTTCATTTGTCGACAACGACTGATATCTGAGTGAGAGGACGACAGACCAAAATGCAACCTGAGACAATTTTGATTTGTACATTCGCAAAAACAACAATACCAACAAACATGGAAAAAAAAAGGAATCAATAAGATCCTGCTCATCCCAAACTTGAATACAAACTCGACCTTTTAGGATCTGACTGGCAATCCCACCCACTCGTCCCCCCCTCTCCTCCCCTTATAACTGCGTTGTAACAGAACAACACCTCAAAAGCATTTCATCGGAAAGCTGATGCTACCGGAATTTAATTTACTCGTTGATTCGATATTTGGTCGGGATGACAAATGGAATCTTGTGAAAAGCAAGAAATGCACGAGGTACAACTTTGTCCCCAGGGTCCTCTCTCTTCCCCAAGGGAGGAAGAGAGAGGACCCTGGGAAAGAGCTTGGGATACCTTGGATTTAGATTTCGTTACAAGTTAGATTTTAAAGACAATTTTTACGGTGACAATAATTCACGATTCAATCCCTTTCAAATTCTTGGCAAACTTTATCTTTAGATCGAAACCATGCTGGCCCCCCTCTGTTATGAACGGTAGACATAGTTTCCGGGTTTACGATGATGTTCACTCGATATGATTGGAAATGTTCCAAATCACAGAAATTTTGAAATAAGGAGTCTTAAAACTATGACGAGACGGTAAAAACGATGGTAAATAAGTTAAAAAGCAAAGAAATCAAAGATGAGAAAATTTGGTGTTAAAATGTAAAAGGGTATTCACAATAATAGCGCTGAGTGACTCAATGGTTTGAGTATTCTTGAGGACAATCCCCGGATTCGAGAGAACGCTTTCTCCTTATTCCATAAACATAAAATGCTATGACATCTGGCAAAAAAGCCATTTCAAATTTACTTTTATCAATTTGACCAATCTCTTTTTTTAGAAAAGCAAAAATTTGTCAAGTTACAGTAAATTAAATACTTCAAAAGATATTGCAAAGCGAAAGTGATCTACTTAAAGATGAATCAGACACTTGCGTTTGAAAAATAATCTTCGTATGTCAACATTCTTAGGTGAGAAAATCAAACGACTGATTCTACCAACCTTTAGATGTCTAAACAGCTCCACAAGCGCAAGGCATACCGTGAAAGAATCGAGTAAAGTACCTTCGCTGCCAGTTATTGGCCTTGATCGCGTGACTTTGATTTCTACTCACGCGTGATTACTTCCGCTTTTGGTGCATTCGTGCGTGAATACTGAGAAGTTGTGGTACGCTTCTAAAAAGTAAGAATTAAACTTATATCTTCTGAACGGATGCCATGTCTCAGCCAGCACATCCAAGTTCCACCGGTGATAATAATCGTAAGCCAGTGAAATGTAGCTCTTCAGACTGTTGGTGCCTTCTCCAGAAATTAAGATCGGACTGTCCTTTGGTTCAGTGTATCACAAATTATGTGTCGATGGACATCATGGCAAATACTCTCCTTGCGATCGGAGCGTCCCCTGCCATGGTACACGGTGGGTTGAACATTTTAATGTTAACTAATGAAGGAAACTTAGAGAAGTTTATGACGCCAACGACAATTTTTTAGGAGCGGAGAGTCAGAGGCTATGTTGTGGAACACGATATTCTCGTAGAGAAGAGCATTATATCTACAGACACAAAAACAAAATTTTCTCTCCCGACAATCTTTTTCAGGACTTGTGCAAGCGGAAAAAGTAAACAGGGAAGGAGGGTTGAGGTCGCTTTTTACAACTCTGTATCTTGACTTCAGAACAACTTCTGGATTCTAAATTTTAACTTTTTTATACGAGAATGACTCCGTAGATACGTACCTGGGCTCAGATCTTTGGAGACATCAACTGAAAACATAGAATTGCCGGAAAAATAACAAATTACGCAATTATAAAAAAATATGATAAATTTTCCGAACAGACTAACATAAAAACTTTCATTATTCAGCTGAAGAAGAAGTGGAAGAATTTGTCACCTTGGCCTCTGCACTGCTGATAAATATTGGAACTCTTTCTACACCTTGGATCAGGTCAATGCACAAGGCTGCAGCAAAAGCTCAGGAATTGGGGAAGCCATGGGTGTTAGACCCTGTGGGCGCAGGTGCCACCAGCTTACGGACAAACACTGCAACAGACTTGGTTGTTTCTTATAAGCCCACTGTGATACGAGGCAATCCCTCTGAGATAATGGCTCTTGCCAAAAGTATTTGCAAAGGACTTGATCTTCAGCCGTCAGGTATGGTAATGATGTAAATTGCTTTTGATCACTGCAAATTGCAATTCTAGAATTTTTATCAATTTAGCTGTCAATCGTCATGGAGCTAACCATTGTGCCACACCCCCCAACCCCACCCAGGAGACAGTGGTTTAATGATAAGTGTGATGGTTTCTGGATTATATGGTCATTGTGGTAGGACAGGTCATTGTGTGTTCTTGAACAGTCATAACAGGAAAATCTGACCAAAGGCTTGCTGCAAACTGTAATGAAGAAAGCACAACTTTCCAAATTGGTTACAAAGTAGGCTTCAGCTGCTTTGACTCAGTCTTGTGTAAAGAATTTACCATTCACCAAACTTGGGGTCATGTTTACACCAATAGTCAAATTTTTTATTGTTAGCAGACATGAAGGTTGATATTGGGGTTAACCCTTCAACCTCCAAGAGTGATTAGCATCTAATATCTCCTTACAATATCACCCTGATTCAAACATTAAGGTCATGAGAATAAAGGAAATGATCAACAAGTAAGAAAGCTCTTAATTGTTTGACAAGCACCATTGAAATTGTATAGAGAACAGCCTGGAGAACCAGGATACTAATGTTAGGTTTGAGGATTCGTGGAAGAGGGGTTTAAAATTAGTGATAATGGTGATCACATCCTGTTTAGATGGAGCTCAAAAAGGAGTTGACAGTTCTCAGAGTTCAGACCATGCCCTTGGGCCTGCCAAGGCCTTGGCCAAGGAGTGCTGCTGTGTTGTTGTAGTGACAGGAGAACATGACTTTGTGACAGATGGCTCTAGTGTGATCACTGTATCAAATGGTCATCCAATCCTTAAAAAGATAACTGCAGCTGGATGCACTTTGACAGCTGTGCTGGCAGCATTTGTTTCTCTGGGGGATCCCACAGATGTAACACATGTGATCAAAAGTTGTGCTTGTGCACTGAGTATCTTTGGAATTGCAGCAGAGCTAGCTGTTGAAGATCCAATAGCTAAGGGGCCTGGTAGTGTCAGAATGCTTATGCTAGATACCTATGGCAGATTTAATGCACAAACCTTGTTGGAAAGGGCAAAAATTTCCTTTCCTTCCTAAATTTCCTAATTTCCTCTACACACCGCCAAGATCATATTTGTAAATTCTTGTTTATAGTGGCAGTGGAAGTCCTTGTAAATTAGTTACAGGAATTAAGTAAGGGAAAAGTGTCAAAAGAATTTGAACATCAGACTAATTAAAATTAGCCAAGAGCATTTTGACCACCAGTTCAGAGCCAGTTACCCATCAATTGTAATCTCTTCAAACAAATAAGTTCACAAATAGTTTAGTATGTCTATTGAGTTAACCTAGGATATTTGCAAATTTATTTTAAATTAATATTTAATAATATTTCACATACCATTTAGAATAAGAAAAATTGCTTATGTACCTTAAAATACTGACCCTGCTTACATAATTGGGATACTTAACAAAATGGACATATCTTAATCTGCTAGTATACCATGCATGACTTTATTACTTAACTCAATGCCTCACAAATGTAAACTTTATTTTAATTCTGGTACATGATATATGCTGAAATAACTTTTACATTACAAAATACAGTAGAGACTGGATAACTTGATCTGCCATCGGAAACAAAAAACGGTTGAAATCCCATCTTGTTCGAGTTACTAAGAGGTTTGAGTTCACTGAGTTTGAATTGGTGAGGTTCTCCTATATCAGGATGACACGGTTTTCTCTTGGAACACGTCAGGCCAGTATTTCTACCTATCATTTGTTTTTGAGATGCCAGCCACTAAAAGTAGACAAAGCAGAAAAAAAAAATGGTTGAAATCGCATCTTGTTCAAGTTACTGGGAAGTTTGAGTTCACTTAGTTTGAATTAGTGAGGTTCTCCTATAACAAGATGACACTGTGTTCTTTAGGAACACGTCAGGCCAGTATTTCTACCTATCATTTGTTTCTGAGATGCCAGCCACTAAAAGTAGACAAAGCAGTTGTCAAATAGCAGTCTTAGTTTGAAATAAATTTTACCTTCACCCAGTCTTGTATCCATGGCTGGCTACTAATTATCTGGAGAACACTTATGACAATATTTCATGAGATTTAAGTATTAAATAATCTTCATATCATGGAGCCTTAACCAATACATTATTCTACATGGCATCTTTCAAACATCAAGTTTTCTGTGTACAAACTTAAATACCTATTTGAATTGACCCAAATAATGGAGTTTAATTAATAATAGAGTTTAATTCATGTGTTGAATACTAAAGTCAAACTTGCGCTTAAATGAAGGATGGGATCACTGAGCACAAAAGTAAATAAAATTCATTCAAGAGTTGAAAAATCAAATCAAAGTAACTTCAAAAGTGACCTCCTCATAAATGTCACTTGAACTTAATTCTAGGGTTGACCCAGAATTAGGTGATTTACTCTGCTTTTGTACATTTGAGTACATGAAAAGTTTGATGTTTTTCTGTCTGGCATATTCTACATCTTTTGCGACATCTAAATGGAATCAATTTGCCCCTACCATTCTGCCTTTGCTTTTCTAATTCTGTGATATGGTAGGCACAGACTTGTTGCCTTAAGTTTGTTATTTACTTGCAACAAGGCCATATGTCTTTGATAATAAAATAACCCTATTTATTCAGCATAGAAGACAACTAGCTTAGGGTGAAGAGGCTGTATCAACCATAACTGGTTATCTTTGTCTTGCTCTTCTAACTCTTGGTCTGGCAGGTTCAGCTTGTTGTTTGGCTGCAGCTCTTCCTCGAGTTGCTCTGACTGGGTTGGCTTTAGATTTCTTGGCTGGAGGTGACACACTTGTGTCCTCTGACTTGCGCTTCTGTAATTCATAAGAAAATAATATTTATATAGACAAGAATAGGACATTTAAAATATATTCTTTACTCACTGTAATCACTAAAAATATTTTAAAAAATTATGATAAAATCCTTAAAAAAAACTGAATACATTAAAAAGGCTAATAAAAATCTAAGAAAAACTAACAGATATATGCTCTGGTTACATTTACTTCTTGAACTTTAAAGAAGGAGAAGAAAAAAAAAAGTAATAATAGCAATGTGAAGATATATAGGACATATATTATATATAAGAAGTAATAATTATAAAAATGATAACAATAATACTAATAATAATAATAATAATAATAATAATAATAATAAAAACAAATGTGGTGAAACACAAAAAAAGTGGTTTAAACCTATTTTGCTGATAGTTACATCCAGTATATTATTTTTAGTTTCCATTGATTGGACATATAATGGGACATGGAATGGAAGCACTGTAAGCATTGACATTGGTCCTTATTGCCAGGTTTTTTTGACACCTGCTTGTGGGTGAAAAAGCCAAAACACAAAGATGGAAAATGACTGTTTCAGGGTAGAAAAAATAGCACAACTTGTTCACAAGGAATTTGTTGCGAATCCTTTGACACCCACAAGTGCCCAAGACAGAATTTCTCCTGATAATATCAATATTAATAATAACATGCAGACCTCTCCTGCTGAGCTATAACCATTGGGAAGATCAGCAGAGGCTGAGCTGGCTTTTGAGGTGGTGAACTTCACATTCTTTCCATCATCTGTACATCCCCTCTTTTTAAGGCCCTCTCTGAACAGTTTACGAATGAATTCGTAGTCTGGTTGATCTTCATATTCCAATGTGTTGATGTATTCCAAGTACTTTTGTATCTCAACTACAATGAAAGATGTGTGCATATAATCAGTTAACCATTCTCTCTTCAAAGAAGGAAGGGGAAGACTTGTACAACCACCACAATATGCTGCCCAAGAAAAAAGGACCAAACTTTGAACACACAAATTGCAAAAAAGGAACATCAACACTGAAATAAGCCTGTATACTCCTAGTGAGGAAGACCATAGAAGATCAAATTCAAGCATATGAAAATAACCTATGCCCATAAAAAGAAGGACTCAAAATAAGGGAGGGGGGGTATGCTTGGATTGTTTTAAGCTCCACATGACTCATTGAGCCTCAATTAAACTGTTGGTAATAAACATTACCTTGATGATCTCCACAAAAACAGTCCCTCATTAATTTTGGAATGTTCTTCATATACCTAGTAAAAACAAAGAGTAACCCTTACAACAATTATATTTTAACTGTCATTCCATAAAAATATGTGATATAAGCTGACATCATAAACTACTGAGAGAAGAGACTGCACAAACCTATTCTTTTCATTCCTCACATATTCCTTATCCTGAAGATTCTTTTCCCAGGGAAGTCTGTCACACAACCACTGTAGCATCACAAAACCCAGAATCTCCAAATCACTGCGCCGCGAGGTGACTACAAATACCAAAGTATGATAAGTAAAATTAACAAGTTAGTGATAGAAGGGATAGAAGCATTTAATGTGTTGGGAACAAAGTTTGTAGTCCTTGAATAACATTATTTCCTGAACATGCATCCTAGAGGAGCAAGTCTATTGAAAACTAGATTGCTCCAGGAGGAAAATGACCGGAGGAGTTTAGGTTTTGGTTTTGTTTCTTTGTTTGTTACTTAGTAAAGATGTAATGTGTTGCTAAATGTAGTATATAGATTTAGATCATTCTCCAGATTTTTAAAACCCAGTCCTAACTTTTGACCCACTCCACTGGTGTAATGTTTGTTGTACAAACAAGTCCATCATGCAGGCAGATTATCCACAGAGCCATCTTTATTGCTTGCTCACCCACAAAGCCTCAAGGTTGTACTTGCACAGGCAACCCAGTTACAATAACTACAACAGGTGAATTAAAAAAAAAAAAATATATATATACACTAAAAGTTTGGCAGCTGGTGATCAGCTTACCTACACCATTATGTGCATCTCTGCTGGTAAACTCTATTGTGCCATCATGTTTTCTTTTAGGGTCTTCTTTATATTCTTTGTGATTCCCATCAGGACTAAACCGATATACAAGCCCATAATCCAGTAAATAGACCTGTGGGGGGAAAAAAAATCTGATCCAAGAGCCTTCTACAAAAGTGATCCTCTGGGTTTTGTTACTGATATTCTGAATGATGATCCACGAAATAATTTTGCTTGCACGCAATTGGTCTTAATGCAGCATGTGAATGAATATCTCCCTGCTAAAACAGGGTGATATCCATGATTGTGATCGATCAAATATTTTGGCTTGGTCTAGATGCAGCATGTGACCAAATATCCCCAGCTTAAACTGGCTTATATCCAAGAATATTACCCAAGTGATATTCCCCAATTTTCAAACCCTATACCACTATGATGAGTCTTTGTTTCACATTTATTTAGTATTGTTTATACATATCTTTGGTATTTAACCACATTGACCAAACATTCAATGCTAGGGACTCTGGACTCATGTTGTTGCAAGTGATATTGCGTTAAGGTTCTCAGGCAGAGCACTTAATTCTCATTGTGCCAAGAGAATTAAAAATGACATGTGACCATAAGCTGTCTCATGTGCGAAGGGCAGCAGTGCTTCTGATCATTTCCTGATGTTTGATAAGCTCAAATAGCTATGTGAGCCAGTCTCATATGCAAATATAACCTATAAATAATCTTTTGTCAAAACAAACAGTTCAATTCATTTCCCCAAAGTTCTTATCAGGCATCAGTTTGTGTAAGTGAATGACTTAAGTGTACAGACATCACTTACTTGACCAGATTTTGACTTTGAGAATCCCATCATGAGATTTGAGCCTTTAATGTCTCCATGGGTATATTCATGACAGTGAATATACTCCAGAGCATCAATCTTGCAACAGAATTAAAAAAAAAAAAGAAAAAACAATTTTAAAGAAACTCTGTTATAAAGCACTAGAGTGAATTTAATACAAGCATGGATCATCATTGACCTACGATATAAAAAAAGAATTAGAAATCACATATTAAGAGGCAGACATAATACGACTGAAAACAAAGCAGACTTTCAAGTAAATGGAGGAACTTACAACTCTCAGACCAAGCATCAACACTGTTGTCACATCAAACCTCCGCTTACTGTTTAGGAAAAGCTCATCAACATCTTTCCCGAACCTCTCCAGAACTAGAAATCGCAGCTTACTGGACTCATGTTCATGTAACCCAGATCCCAAAAACATTGGAACTCCAAGATGTTTTAGACGACGTGACTGACACCAGCTTTTAACTAATAAGAGAAAAAATTTTCCCAGTCATAACATGTACCCTGATGAGATTCTAACAAGACATTACCCTTTTATCCTCAGAGTGCCCAGTATTAAATATCTTGTTTAAGTATTATCCTGAATCAAACACAAAGGTCATGAGAATAAGGCCCTTAATCAATTAGAGACAGTTTTTTTAAATTCAAAATTCAGAGACATACTTAGTTCTGGTTTAGCAACACGTTGGTAGAATGCAAGTTCTGTAAATAAAGGGCCATTGGCATGTGGCTCCTGTAAAAAAGGAAAGGATATTACAATCAAATGGCCTGAGGAAGTAAGAAATCTAAAGTATCTAAATTCATGTTCCAAATGCAAACTTGATCTGCCCATTTGATCTTTCTCATTTGGCATTTAAGTTCTGGACTCTTATGCACTCAAGAGTAAAGGTATAACAATATTGTAATTGACCAATGGTGCTATCAGCATCAGAACATTCAGATATTAATAACATTCTTACCACTTTAACAACATGTTCAGCAGTTTCAGTAACAGGTGTTTCACTATCTGGAGAAGCTGTTAAAAATAATTGTTTTTCTGTTAATGTGATCAATCATGATTTTATACCATTTGATTAACAATAATATACCCAATACTTTACCCAACGCTGTGAGGGAAAGATTTCAATTCAAGCAAACTTTTGAATTTGTGAGTCCATACAGTCAAATATGGCCCCCTACATCGACCAATGATAGTGAACATACTGATTAAAAGGTTCTAATGATAAAAGTTTTCATTTTGGAAGGGCTGAGGAAGGGAGACTCATAACTGTCAATGTGCTGATGGAGGATATCCTGAGGAATCCGTTAAAACAATTTATACGCATCATTTTTTTCATACCAACCCATTCTGCACTTAAACACTCTCTTCCCAAATTATCATCAATACCAACATTGCAATGTGTTGAGATAATGCGGCAAAATCGCAAAAAAATCAGACACAAAACCAAAAAAAGCAAAGTTTCAAATGCGCCATAAATCACCAACAAGTAGTTCACATGTCAGATATATTTTACCTAAGTAAATGGCACCAAAACCACCCCATCCTACCAACTCTCCCAAACGCCACTTTTTCTTGGCGAGGTCTGTCAAGACGGTTCCTGGTGGCAATTTAACCATTCCTCGGGGCTTGCGAGGCTTTTTCTTCACCGGTACAGGCCCCTTAGCAGCAGGTGCCTTCCTTTTCCCAAGCTTAGGCTTTGAAGAGCTCATTTTACGCCAGTTATCGCTATGAGTGTGTCGATAGTCTTCCGCTCTTCTTAGACATCGGCTGGAAGGTATCGTTGGAGTGGTCCCTAAGCCCCTTTCGATTTCCCGCCATTCGCTTTATCCATATATGACTAGGTTTACCAAAGTTGGAAAGCTTATACGATGTACATTGGAACAGGTCCACGAGCACACTTAAACAAGGAGCCAAGTCATAAGTGTCTTTGACTGTCTCTGCAGAAATTTTCGACTCCTTCTTTGCGAAATTAAGGTAATATCTCATTCGATTCATTTCATATCGCATTAGCTCCGCATTCTAGGGAGTTAAAATGCCTCCTAAGTCCACGATGGCGACGATCGATTTCAGCAAACGTTGACTCGGCACTTCTTCCGCCCTCTATACTTTGTTTGGGAAATTGCACATTTAATCGCCTCAATTTACCCAAAAATCGTTTAGAACTGTAGAGTCCTCATCTATTTGATCGATTTTCGACATTTTTATATCACTATAATCGATCTATTAGCCATGAGGATGGATCGACGGTTGCCAGAATTTACAAGAATGGTAGCCGAGCCAGATATCGCAAATTATTTAGATATGTGAGACCAAAACTATTCCGCTCATTGCTTAATGGCACATTTAAGTCCTTACCGTGCAAATCAGATACATCGATCGGCTATCAATCGAGAGATTGATCGAGACTTTTTCACGTGACACACGTGCATACAAGCTTTTCGAGGTAGACCAGTTAATCCTTCGGGAACTACTCGATATTGTTAAATAATGCAGGTGGTAGTTCAAATGAATGTTTCTCTTCTGGACTGGTGTTGTAAACACGCAAAGATCTAGTTGCACGCCTTTAATCAGAAAGAGCGGTCTTTCACTTTCTATTTTAACCACAACATCTTTCTTTTTAGCATGAGTTCTACTTCACAAAAACACAGAAACTTTGTGGCGGAGCCTATGGGTGAAAAGCTTGTGACTGAGCTTGCAGGAATTGGTCCAGTCCTGGGGGAAAGATTGACCGAGAAGGGTTTTGACAAGGCCTATGTTGTGTTGGGCCAATTCCTTCTTCTGAAGAAAGATCAAGAAATGTTTATGGAATGGATTAAAGACACATGTGCAGCTAACAAGAAGCAGGGATCAGATTGTCACAATTGTTTAAAAGAATGGTGTGATGCTTTCCTGTAAGAACTTCCTGATAATATACAACATAACCTTTATAGTCAAAATTGTGTTTTAAAGGTAAATGGTCGTTTCATTTTCTAGGGTTATCACTTCTTAGTAGCAATTTCATTCACCTTATCAAATTAATTAAGCAGATAACTGAAAAACAACAATAAAAATTAGTTTTGTTATTTATGAAATGGTGTTCTGTTTAATGATGTAATTTAGCAATGTATTTTCAAGTCATTAAAGAATGAAACAATCATGTAACTTTTACATCACAAATATATTGTTCTCCTTGACTCTGAACATAACATTAAAAAAATTTCCTGAACATTGTTAATCACCTCTAAAAATAATTTCCACTTTATACATAATTCAATTCCCACTCCCTTCTCTATTATTGGTCTTCATCCCTTACTCTCCATTCCCTTCCATTTCTCCTTCTCCTTTCTCTCTCTCCATTCGTTTGCATTGTAGACTTGGTCTTTTTGGATGATCACCCTCTCACTTCTACATACTTGATGATTAAGTGGGTAGAGCATTATACAGTGGACTGTCTAGCATGCATTTGTCTCTGACATGATCTCAGTAAGATTATAGTCTGTGGTCCTGACTGGGATTGAAGTCAGCCTTCATTTTTACATCCTTAGATGGAACAGATATAAGCAAAATTTAATGGTAGATCTTTCAATGCAAAGATAAGTAACAAGAAAATGAAACATTTTTGACATCTTCAGAATGTTATTGTCAAGTGAAAAGCTTAGCTCAGCTCATGCGTAATAGATAGATCTTAAACACAAAGGGGTGTGAGAAATAAAGAGGGTAAGTTTCTTAAGAAACTGGTGCTGCATATGTGGAAGAGTCATAACAAGGTCTATTCATCACTTCACGGGTTTATTTAGAACCACCATCATGACCAGCTCCCAGTTGGCTTGTTAGCTCAGTTGGTAGAGCGCTGCACCGGTATCGCAGAGGTCATGGGTTCAAATCCCGTACAGGCCTGAATTTTTTTCAGGCCTTATTTTCATTACTGCCTAAGTAGTGCACATCACTGCGAAGATCACTTTCATTCAAGGTAATTTGGTATTATCAACTGAGTTGATAAATTGTAAATTGGCCATTGAAAAGAGTTTTAAAGCTGATGTGTCAAGCATTAGCCCTTCATCAGAGTGAGCATGCCATAAATAGGTTGGCCCTGCCCCTTGGTTTCAGCTCAAATAATAATTATACTGTGGTGATATTTCACAACGGCAACGGCGAATCGTTACGAATTTCAAATTTACCGCCATTGTCAAATATTGACATTGAGGCGACCATACCGCTGACGAGTATGACCCTGGGGTCGAGATCGTTTACACATGGAATACAACGTTGTAACCGCTGAGTTAGAAAATGCGGGCTCTAGCCTAGCGCATGACAAATTAGGAGTAGGGACCACAGTTCTACTGGACGTTTTGGTAGTTCCTTCGTTTCTTGACAGTGTGAACCCTTCAACTTGAATTTGTGGTATCTATTAAATATGCCGTCTGTAGATGGTGAAGAAAATGGCGAGGAGGAGGTGGAAAGGAGCCCTAATGAAGACGAGAACATGAGTGAAGACGAAGAGGAAGAGAGCAGCCTGAGTTCCGACGAATCGTCTTCCGAGTCCAGCAGTTAGTGCAGACTTATTGACTTTTTCTTCCGCGCGATTTTGCTCTTTAGTGTAAATTGTTTTGCCAGTATGTTAGCTTATTCCTATCTAAATTTCTTTTTGATTTTAGTCGACGAAACAGAAAACGAGAGAAGAAGAAATGAATGTCTTAATGACATGGCAGACCTGGAAAGACAATTTAGCGACCTGAAAGAACAGTTAGTTTGAATTTACTACTAGTATTAATTTGTTAAAATAAGCTGTTTCTATGACGATTTTGATGAGCAGGTAGTAGCAAAGTGATGCTCCTTTTTCAGGTTGTATCGAGAGCGCATCAGCCAAGTTGAGAAGAAGTTGGATGAAGTACAATCTGGTAAGTTTTCTGGGGTAGGGTGGAGAATGATCTCTTTTCTTTCCCTCTTTCTCCCGCTTTAAAATAAAATTTTCCTTTTCATTCAGAAGTTAAGCTATTGTATCCTAAGTGTCTTGAGAGTTGTGTTTAGATGTTCCTTTTTTGACCCTTTAACTTCCAAAATCTGATTGTTAATTCTCTCCTCTTGCTGCTACACACCTCCTTGTAAATTTGTTACAAAAACTTGGTGTAAGATCAAGATAAAAAGTTCTTTCTGATAAGTTTGAGTATTCTCATAAACTGCTTGCTAGAAAATGTATGGATATCATTTGGAGAAATTCCATGTGAGTCACTTCTGGGAGTTAAGGGGTTAAGGATTATCCATCTGTTTCATTTGTCAATCCTTCATCCTGGTTGTTCAAGTTTCTTCAATACCTTCCACCTCCTTTTGATAAAGCTACAGGCATTGTTACCCTCTTCTTTCCTCACAATTTGAGTCTCTGTAACAACAGCCCCTGTGCACAAGGAAGTCACTTGAAAAAAAGGGTAGTAAGGGAGGTCACATATACTTTGAAGAGTATTTCACGCATTACAAATCTGAAAGGAAAAATTACAAATCTCACCTTAACTTGCCTTTCTGTAAATTCTTTGTGTTATGGATTAATTTTGGGCATAATCACACATCACTTTTAAACTCTATTCCACCTTCTTGACAAAATTACAGTCAACTTAGTGATGAATGTTTTTTTCTTTCTCTTACTCCAACAGTTATCATCATCTGTATGAAAAATGATTTATATCCTATTTTTTCCATCCTATATGATTACATAATTGTGACTTGTATTAAATTGGTGTTAATCACCTTGATGGAAATTGCAGAACAATAAAGTGTATCACTGTGTGATTTTCTCATAACAGAATGTGCCATGGAGTACACAGGCCCTGTTGGTGAATTGAAGGAGATGTGTGAGATAAGAATTGAAGTTGCAGGTATGCATTAGTGATAAAATATTATTTTTAAGTTTGTTATTGCAGCTAGTGCCAGAATAATAAGAATGTCAGACTTCATGTACTTCAGAACTTGGTATTAGCTCCCTGTTGTTCTTACATTTACCACTACAAATGGCCACTTGGGTCCAGTCATTCAAAAGGCTGATAATGCAATCAAACAGATAAACTGCTATCCAAGAGGACAAGTGATAATAAAATGTACTGCACTATCCAGCAGAAAGCCGGTTATCTAGTGAATAAGGCTATCCAACCCTAAAAAAAAGATTTGCTACTTTTGTAAATCTAAAAATAGTACTGACTTGGGAACAAGAGAGATGTTAAATTTTCAAATCATCTATCCAATGAGAAAGTTTCTTATATGCATGTAACAAAATGTCTTTAAAATCAACATTTCTGGGAAAAATGGGAACAGAGTGAAAGTATAAAATTACAAATGATAACCAAAGTAGGTCTCAAGTAAAGTTAGATATAAAACCCAACACTTGTTTTTTGCTTCCCTGGTATATTTACTTACAAGTTGTACCCAGGTGCTGCTGTTCAGCCAGTACTCCTTGTTGATTTGCAATTTTGTTTATCTCATTTTGTTATTTTTTCCAGGGATGTATGGGAAAGTGTAGTCATTACAAGCAAACAAAAGTATTGTTAAAGTAATTTGCTACAAAACTTATCTGTGATTAATTGATTTTCAGGAATTTTACGAAACTGTAGGGTAAGTATCCTCAGTGACATAAATGGTGAAATGATTTAGTGGTTGCAACAGCTGTGTGTCAAGTTGTGATGGCTTGTCTTTGTGCAGTATATCAAACTAACCATTATCATGGTAATATCGTGAAAATTGATCATTGATATTTACATGTATTGAACACTGATTGGAAAAATAAATGGAACTTCTAAAAGAAACAACTTGACTGATCAGGAAAATGTGAATAAATGTATTGATTGATGAATTAAGTAAACAAGGAAATTATGTTTGTGTTTCTTCCTTATAACTGTTGTTCTTTTAAATGACTGTAAATATATGAAAATCATATATATGAACTGCAGATTAATAAATGAATATGAAAGCGATCTTCACAGTTGCGAACAGTACTGTGCAGCAGTAAAAGTAAGGCCTGTAGTGGATTTCAACCCATGATCTTTGTGATACCAGTACAGTATTCTACTAACTGAGCTAACAAACCAACTGGGAGCTGGTCATTTTGTTGGTGGTAATAAACCAGGGAAGTGATGAATAAATGACTGTTGTTCTTTTTAGTTAGGGAACGTAAGAAACAAATATGATGCTGATGAACAGGCTGCCAAACAACATTATGAGGTAAGTGACATGAACCCTCACATTCCAAGGGGTAACCTAAAGAAAAACTCTTGAAACAATATTGTTAACCCTTTAACTCCCAATATCTCATTAGTTATTCTCCTTACTGTCTGCCATACAGTTCTTGTGTTATTAGTTTGGAGAATTTGGTATTGAATCAACTTGAATCCCCTAACTGATATTTTTCTCTATTCTTATCACTTGCCTGATTGATATTGTATTGATATTGTATGGAGAAATTCTGTCTTGATCACTCATATTTAAAGGGTTCAATTTCCAAGAATATGTTAAGAGAATAGAAAAATATCAATCAGTAAATATGAAATCTTTGAACTAGAATCACAAAATTGTAAAATGATTGAACAGATCTTGAGAAGGGATAAAGAGTGTATTTAATGAGATCATCTATTATCCAGTCTTGATTTGGTTAAAAAAATTTGGCATCTTAGAAAACATTGAAGCCAATCATCAAACTACTTAAACAATGTTGCAAATCATTTAACCTTACTGCCTGACCAAAGTGTAGCAGTCAAAAGGTTGTGATGTACAAGTGGAAGTCATTTATTTTTGTGCATACTAATCTATAACAGTTGGCTGCAAATTAGTTGGCTATTTTCAAAGCTCAGTAGAGGTTGCAAACATGCCTTTGACCTCTCAGCCTTGCCTCTACTTTATTACATACAGTACCTTGATATTTTTCAAATGATGTTTTTTTTCAATTGACTATTATCAAAATATTTAATATCTTTCCTTTACAGAGTGAAAAGTTGGCCTTGATGGAAAGCATGAAGCAAGAGTTGGAAGAAAAAATTAGAAAATTAGAAGAAGATAAACAAAATATGGATATATCAGCTGGTAAAATCTTTGGAACCATGCTCATTATTTTGGCTGCTTATTGTTTCTCCCTCATTATTATATAAATCAAAATTCTCATTCCTAAAAACTTCAAAGTTGAGTTAACTTTAGTTAGTAACAGTCATGAGTACTTTTGAATTGTGTTATTTACTTCATTTCAGATATCTGGCTTGAATCCCAGTCACTTAAAAAGAGGCACAGGAAGTCATCTGATGGATCCATGCTCTCTGACAAAAGACGGAAGCCTGTCACTGTTACAGATATCCTTTTAGAACTCTTCACTTATTTGTTTATGAAACTGTGATCCATACAGATAATTTAAGTTTAACACCTTCTCCTGCTGAATTGACTTAACCCTTAATTTCCTAAGATCTGATTGTTAATTCTCTCCTCTATCTGCAACACTTTTTCATGTAAATTAGTTAGGAGAATTTGTGTCATATCATCATGATGACAACTTCAATTTTGAGAATTCTCATCACCTGTTTACTGGATAATGTATGGAGAAGCTACATGTCAATCACTCCAAAGGAGTCTGAAGGTTAACCTTCCAGTGACCTTCCTTACTGGCAACCTAGCCATACACATCCATACTTCCCCTTTGTACACATCAAACTCAACACAGAGGATTCATTGGAAATCATAAACAGTAAAGATAATTAAAAAGAGAAAGAAAGTCTGTAAAGGAACAGAAAGAATCAGAAACCAATTAAGAAATCTGTGAGCAAAGCCAGTTCAAATTCAGGTACAATATACATTTACGAAGAAGTGCAAAGGTACCAGCAGAACTTAAACCTGTCGAAAACCTTAGGCTGCATTCAGTGGTATGGGTAGTACATAGATGTTAGCATGGTTATAATAGTATGTTAGAAAATATCAGTTATACCCTTAAGCTCCCACCTTTGGCTCCTGGTTATTAACTAAGTTATATAACATTCAGTTTTAAGAAGGTTATTGCAGATTTAAGTCAAAAGTATTCTCATTGTCTTTTCTTGACCTTACCCAAGTCCCTATATTGTGTATATGTTAAGAGAAATGGATATTCTTGAAGACTGGGCAGCCATCAGGAAGGTAAATCTTGAGGTGTTTTTATCAGAATTTTTTTTTTTTGGATATGAGAGTTGTATATATTTTTCTGTATTTATTGTTTTGTTTTCCAATTACAACTACCAGTCTGTTTCCAATAAAAAAAATGATGTGCTATAACAGATTTTTTTTTTAAGGCAAAAGGGGCATTGGCAAGGAGAAGACAAGAAAGTAGGACATTATTTGATTTACCTTCATTTCCAAAATAATTTTGCAGTTGTTGGCCATTGATACAAACAAATTGATCAATTTTTTTGGAATGGCTAATATGTCTGTAGATTTAATGACATTTCTTTGTACCTGACTGTGACATTGTTGTTAGAACACCTGCCAACAAAATACAGTTTAAGAGGCTTGTTGATCATACTTAAACTCTGTTCTCCTTGATATAAAACACTCAATAACACAGCTTCCTTCATCATTACTAGGATGTACAAATTATGCATTACTACTTAATGATGAATATCTTTACGCTGGATGGTAGAGTAGAATTTTGATTTCCATTGGAGAATATTCCATTAAATTTGAATACTTATCAATTTTAAGCATTTTGGAATGAAGACCTAAGCCTTGATCATTCTACTTTGAGCTTGATTTTTGATCTGCCAAAAATGTTAGGTGCCCACCTCTTCCCTGTTTTTTCTTTTTATTGATCTTGGGTTTGACGAAGTCCTTCTAGGAGTTATTAGAGGAGAAAACCTTCAAGTCTGAGTAAGGTTATTAATGTTTTGGAAATTTGAATCATTAAACTCTGTTATTTCATATATAGGTGGTTGTCAATCTGAGAAAAGTCCATTCAGTGCACGATATGAAGATGGAAAGCTTTACTATGAAGGAGAATGGTATGTGGCTCTGTGACTGACATATATTTGTTAGTTTGTGACAGCTGTGCACACATGACAGTGACTATTAGGACTAAATTACACACCTTGAGTGGTGTTTGTGGATAATGGTGCAAAAGCTCTAATAATTATAATCTTATCTTTACATTCTTTTTTTAAGGTTCCACAAAGGTGATCGTGTACTGATAGAGAGCAGAAATGATACACATTCCAGGTTTGTCTACAGCTCATATTCCTGATGTTACATGTTATCGTGAATTTACTTTCAAATTTGTTCTTTTTGTAAGGATTTCAGTATAACTATCTTAAGCCATACCCTTCAATTTCACTTATTCACCAATCTGTAGTTGTATATTTGTTAGTCCCCAGTCTAATTCACTGTCTTTTTAAAGTGTGCATTGCAAGGCACTGATTTTGCTCCAAAATATTTTGCAGCAGTTGTCAGACATAATTGTTAGGTCAAAGAAGTGCCTTGGTTTATACAATTTTACCATGTTGCAGCCATAGCACTGGGCAAACACACTTGCTTATACTCAGCTTTTTATGGCTTATTTCAGTAAATTTGTTCTGGTGATGAAATATTTTTTGTTTTTTTACTTTAGTGCTGTAGTTACAGGAATCAACACTGGAGAGGTGATTAAATAGTTTTTCCTAGTTTCTACTTTTTTGTTAGGTGTTTCTAGCCAGTCTTCTTCACAAACAGAGCTAAAAATTTATTTACCTGTTAACCCTTAAATCAGAACTCCCAAGAGAGATCTGCATCAAATTTCTCATCACAATATCACCATCTTATCACAAGTAAAGGTTCTGGGAATCAAAGAATTGATCAGTAAAGAAAAATAGCCTTGCATTAAAATAGCCAAATTCTCTCAATGACTATTGTATGGAAATGCATGGGCACCATTAACAAGAATTTATAGAATTTAACTTTTAAACAAAGATAAGTTGTTGTTTAGCAAAACTGCATTCTAACTTATCTTGAATTTGACTGAATCTTTTGCCTCAACATTTGTATTTGGAGTTTTGTCAAAAGGGCCAAAACCTACCGGTGGAAGGACATTTAATGAAAATTATTAATGAAAATAATCTCTTATAGTAAATACATAAGGCCCACTGGTTGCATAAAACTACAGTTTGGGTTAGACCTTCTGTAAATAACTGGCCTTATATGTTTACAATGGGGTTTAAAGGGTTGGTATTTATCTTTTCCTAATGGGACATTTTCTTAACCAGGAATAATTGTTTATTTGTGATTTTTAGGTGTGGGTGAGAAAAGGAGATGGATCAAAAACAAAGTTGTACATAGGACAATTACAGAAAGGAAAATACAGGATAAAAATGTCATGAAAAATAATTGATTAAGTGCTACATTTTGATTTACGTTGTATAGAATCTGTTAGATTTCAGTCTATTTTGAGACAGATTGTACCAGGACACTTTGATAGTTGTTATATGTGTAATATAGTTGGTGCATATCACATGACACTTTGACATCATGGCATGTTGCTGTGACAACAGTGATGTCTTGAGGATGGTAATTTTCAAATCCATCAAACTGTCATGAGAAATTCAGCATGTTAACTTGCTCATGCACAACTGGAAGCAATGAAAGTTGACCGATGTATCCTGACCCTTGGGACAAGAAAGCACAAGACCTAAGGCCCAAAAAAGAGAGCCACAGAGAGTGAGAAGAGAAAACTGATGTATAAGAATTAAGATAAACAGGATAAAAGATATCAAGGTCAGGAAAGGTTGGCCAGAGAGGGAAGTCTTTTAGTAATGAGCAATAACTGAATCACAAGGAAAACTGTCAGCTACACAATGTAAATAAGCTCCCATACTCAAACATTCAGACTCTTAGATGTGTGTGAGAAACAAGATTTCTGTGTTGGTTGTACCTTGGCCAGAGAAAAACATTAAAATTTGTTTTCCAGATGTACTATTATCATTATGCTGTAGTTCTTTTTCTAATGGAATGTTTAGCTGGACTGATAAGAGAAGGAAAACTGACTCTTGTGTAGTGTATGTTTGTGTTAACTCTTTGACTCCCTCAAGTGATTAACATGATAATTCTCCCTTTCATATTTATGCATTATCCAGCAAACAAGTAAGGAGAATACTTGAACATATTAGCTGGTTGTTATCTTGATCTATGAAATTCTCATAACTATGGAAATATGTTGCAGTTAGGAGAGAATTGACAATAATATCCAAGGAGTTGAAGGATTAAGAGTGTACAGAACATTATCATGGAAAGTTTCTTTCTGTTTTCACCTTCCCCACTGCACTGCAAATTCAAGTTCTTCTTTGAAATTTTAGCCTTTTGAGATCCTTTCAAAATTATTATTGGATCTCTATGGGTAAAGAAAACTTCCTAGTATTTAAACACAAACTTTTTGAGGTATTTAGTATTATACCTGGAATTTTGACATCCTTTCTTCAAACACAGGCACTCCCTAAATAAACCTCTCCTCTGGTAAAAAGTGGGCAGGTTAACCTGTAGACCTTAGAGTGTCTGGCATCTAATATCTCCTTACAGTATCACCCTTGAATTGGACAAACATTTATGAGAATAAAGGAAATGATCACCAATTTAAGAAGCTACTTATTCTCAAAAACAATTCTGGTCAGTATCATAGGAAATGTAAGGAGAACAAGATGGAAAATATGAATTCTCAGGGTGAGGAAGGAAAGGGTTAAGTGTCACAAAATCTTTGGCTTGTTTTATTCCCTTGTTAAAGAGGATTCAAGTACATTCACACAAATATACAACAGCAGTGTTTCATTTTATTAAGCATAAAAAAAAATTATAAAAAAAGAAAAAGTCAATAAAAAGCATATATCAAATATATGACTTTCATATATTCTTAGCCAAAAAGGTAAGTAAAAGATATATTCTTTACTCACCTAGTTTTCAACTAGAATAACGACAAAAAGTATGGCAAATCTATTTTTTTTTTATCTTCTCATCTTGCTCCACCTACATTGAAATGGCACATTTTCTGCTTATTTCTGAAGTCTAGGAATAAGTAGACATTGAATTCAGCCAAAACGATAAAAAAATGATAAAAAAAGAAAAAGTCAATAAAAAGCATATATCAAATATATGACTTTCATATATTCTTAACCAAAGTAATAACTGGTACTAACACTTAAAACTAACTTGAGTATAAGTAATTAACTAGCTTGAGTATAAGTAATTTCAAAGATTTTACTGGTCTGCTATGACCCCAATCGATGCATAGATATATTTTATTTGTGTGGGTAACCCATTCAGCTATAAGGATGGTATTCAGATGTGAAGTTGAAAACTAACAATACTGTTCTAGAAACTACTAGTATTAATTTTATAAATATATTCCTAACATTATATGAGGTATGAAAAAAGGTTAAGAAATTAGAGCTACCTTAAAGTATAAAAATTTAAAGAAGGAAGTTATAAAAACAAGTAATTTTAATTCAATGTTTAAAATTCTACAAGGACTCATCTTGCTCCACCTACTGTGAAATAGCACAATTGCTTATTTCTGAAGTCTAGGAATAAGTAGACATTGAATTCTGACACTGCATAGACAGCCAAAACAACACAACTTCACATTTCCACAACTTCCATTTATGACAAACTCTCTAAAATCCCCTCCCCTTGCTCATTTTTTATTCCACATTTACTCACAACTTTTTCGGCAGTCTCAAGTTACCTCTAACCTAGTTATTATCTCCCCTTACCAAAGTTATGCAAAGCTAATTCTGATAAAAGCCACACAACTATGGTAGGCAACTTTAGTACTGGACGTGGACCAATTAAATTCTTCATCTTTTCAAATTCAGATTCAGTGATAATGTCCTTCACAGGTTCACTCTTGTATGTGAATTCAACTCTCTCTCCACATTCATCCACTTTTGTTATCTCAAGTTCTTCTTTTTCAGGAACCAAATGAAGATCTGCCAAACAACAAAAAACAGATCTCAATAAGATAACTCGTTTGGAAGTTATATTACAACAAAAACATGCAACTGCATTAAAATGCAATAGAAAGAACCATTTCATTGTTAAGAGAGTAACATTGATGGAGGATGTACTGCACAGTACTGTTCAACCTCACAAATTTTCCATGTTACAATGAAGAAAAGTAAAATGGTTTCCTTGTTTACATAGCCTGATGTAAACACGTAGGAGGTTAGGAGAACACGAGATAAGTGTAAGAAACCATGACGCGAAGCAGAGTGGTTTCCAGCTTATCGAGTGTTCTCCCAACCTCCCAAGTGTTTACATCAGGCTATGAAAACATGGAAACCATTTTACATTTCTTTTATAAAATAACTAATGAAAGAGGAACGAAAACCGTGTTTACATACACTCATGTAAAATGGTTTTATGGCCAATGAGAGCATGCGTACTATTTGAATTATTTTATAATTCATTGTGTCAAACAGAAGATTGGAATAATCTTACCACTGATATTCTTTTCCAAAAGGTAAAAAATGATGAACCTGACAACTTTCACAACAAGTGGACGTGTCTTTACAATTCCTTTCAGAAGACCCATGATCTTTGTTACATCATCCGGGATAGTTTTTAATGTGAAGGTGAAGGTGTCCTTCCAAGTGATTGTTAGATGTATTTCGTAAGGTAGGTCTTTTACTATTGAAGAAAACAAAATGCAGTTAAATCTACAAACTCTAAAATATACAGAAAATGTAGTCTATTAGCTATTCTCTTTACCCTGCATGGGCACAACAAAAGTCTTGTCCAATAGCAATATTTTGAGCTCAAGCCAAGTTTTGTCAACTTCACATTGGACACATTGAAAATAAAAGTTAGTGACCACTTCAATTAACTATATAGGAAATTCAGTAGTTTAGCTCTCTGTTTCTAATGTTCACTCAGTTAAACATTTGAACTGAATGTGTTTTGCTGGTGTGACTTGAGATAATTCTGTACTTTTAACAGTCCCCAGAAAAATTCCTTTTCAAAATTTCACACTGCCTAGTAGAATCTGCCAGCCTGATCTCAAAATTTACTAGCCCTTGGCTTACTGTAACTAACCAATAAGGTTCGTAACAATGTTAACCAGTTCATTAAAATCAAAACAGGTTATAATTATCTGAAATGCAATTACCAGGTTCATCAGTCTCCATTCCTTTTTTCCTATTAATGTGAAACTTGGCCTCACATCTGAACACCATATCCTGTTGGTGGAACACAGAAAAATATGTCATTACCTGTAATAGGCCTTCTTTAATCCATTCCAAAACTGGCTTAAAATCAGCACAAGAAGCTCATATTGTAATTCAATTTGTGACAAAATGCTTGAATTGTATAGAAAAGTGTAACATCATCCTCGGATTTACTGGCTCTGTATAACGTTTTTAAAGCTTCTTACTTATTCCAGATCTATCTATGAAACTCACCTCCCATTGGCACAGCATAGTGGTAATTGGTTCTGAAAAAGAACACTTTACAGGTAAAAATTAAATCAACAGGCAGAGCGACTTCCATTCTCAGGCAGATCAACTTCGGGCAGATTGTCTTTCAGGCGGAATGACCACAATTCATTGATGAATTTGAGAGTTACTACATCATGGCCGACAAGTAGGGGAAGAAGAAAAGACCAAAATACGAGTGGTCAGCAGGGAAACAAATTTAATAATTCATATAGAGACATATCAGTTATAGTTGCAGAAAACAATAGTGTTGTAAAGCCAAAATATCAACAGTATGCTTCACTAAATAAAATGTTCCGCAATTTTTCAGAAGTGTTGATAGTACATATATCTTTTGCTGCTGTAGAGAAGCATTGGAGAAGGCATCCAGAAAGACACCAAGAAGAATTAAATTTACATTTTGTAACTTTCTGCGTGACGCGTTTGACAAAAAAAGAAAACCAAAACTGTAGTCTCCAAATGAATTCTCCCACCTTGCACAAAAAAATTTGTCAAATTTTTCAGAATTTAACCTGTTCTTATTCCTAGGTCCAGCCAAGCCTTTATGGTCACTGGCCCCCATATAGCCACTAACTATGGATTATAAATGCAGGTGTTTAGTGTTAAATTGTTAAACTCCCTAAAGAAGTCTACAACAGTTAGACAACACACTTCAGAGAATAAAGAAATTTTACAACTACTGTTCAAAGAGTGCTGCTCACCAGTCTAGTTTAAAAGATTTTTTAAAAACTTTGGTGTGAAAGCCATGGTCAGTTTTTCTATGCAGATTGTCTGGATGTACCTTCTACAGAGACATGGGGGGGGGACAGAGACACCAACACAACACTTCACCTGCCATTTGGTTCGAAAGTTAAGTTTTCATCCTGAGTTCATTTGTTCAATTAAATAGGAAAAAAACATTTCGAACGGAAAACAGAATTATTTTAACCTCTGGATCTTTTGAAAAAAGGTCTCCTAAATGAGTGGCCCTGATTATTTATATTTAAGCATGGTAAACACAATAGCCATAACTTGGCTGTTTCTCAAAGCTCAGTGTTTTCCTACATGCCTTTTCCGCGTGAAATGAGGTGATTGAATATGTATAATAAACACTAAAAGAACTACAGCTGATGGAAATTTTAAATTTCTTATCTAAAGGCTGTGAATACAAACTTATTAATGACTCTAAACATATAAAAATCTAAAACAAAATTTTTTTAAGAGTTGCTTAGCTTTTCATTTTTCCAGCATCAAAAGTTGAGATTGCAAAATTCAAGTGAAAAGCAAACCAACTGTGATTAACGCCTTAAACAAGTCAAGATACTTTTTTCCGTCATAGTACAAGTTACATATTAAAAATATATTTACTTCTTCAAGTTTATGCATGGAGGCATGCATTTTTGCTAAGTATTTATCGTTCTATACTTATCTTATTCTCTGTGAATTAAGGATGAGGGTAACTATTGTTGCAAAATTAGTAAAAATTTCCTATTAGGTACCTGAATTGTTTTAAGTTCAATAGAGTTTTTTTTTTATTCCAGCAATAAGTCAATAAGGTCAGTACTGCTCACCTGTTTACTACATGGCTTGCCTAAAACACTTCTAGCACAGAAACTCTTGGAAAGTAATTGCTTTTCATAGAATAACCTAGACACTGTATCTTCAGAGTTTTCACTTATTATGGCAGACCCAGAAAACTGACACAAATTTGGCAGTAATTGTGACAAAAGCAGTTTTCAGTAGTTGTTGTTTTTGTTTTTATGATAGCATAGTAATCCACTATGGATGCCACATGGAACTCTCAAAAATATTTTGTGTGCTTTATTTATCAATCAATTTGATGCTTCAAATTGAAAAAAAAGAAAAAGTGAGCTTCACCAACTAAAAGAGTTCTTGACACAAAGATGAACTATGACACTTAATTTTATTATTCACAAAATTGTCCTCATAATAAAAAGTTTGACAGAAGTCTTGCAAAAAATAATTTCTCATACAATTTGATGGTCTGAAAGATTCTCTTCCAAACAAACCTTATGGTGACTGTAACAGTATAAAATAAATATCTTGATTTGGATATATTTCTCAATCTTTTAAGTATCTTCTTTAATTCTCAAAATTATATTATCATAACATTGGTTAACACAGTGCAATAAGAACTAGTATAGCAAACCTTTGTGTCAGAAGGCCTCAGAGTGCTAAGAATGGAATGTCAATTCACAGAATGTTTATCACTGACAGAAACTTAAATGTGTGCAAAGGACTTGCATTGTTGAGATCAGTAGCTGAGAGGAAGCATTTCTGTTCTCTTCCTTTAACCCTTAAATACCCAAGATCTGGTTGTCAATTCTCCCTTCTAGTTGCTATACATTTACCTGTAAATAAGTTATGAGAATTTGATGTAAGATCAAGATAACTTCTGCCTGATAAGTTCCAGTATTATCATTATCTGTTTGCTGGATAGTGTTTGGATATTATAGGGAGAAGTTACATGAATCAGTCGCGTTTGGGAGTTTTTAAATTGTCTAATATTTTGGTCTGATTCTTTCAATGCTGTCTTGCTTCCTAATAAATTACCATGAGTTGTAAACTCAAATGGTTTTCAATGTACCATGAGTGTAAGTTGTCCTGGGCCAGATGGGTTTCAAAATATTATGAAATCTGTTAGTTACAGTTTCCCTCATGG